TCAACTTGTGCTGTTGACATCTTTTTATTCCTTCATAAAGGAGTAACACTTTAATGAAATAAAGCAATAGAAATTCTCCTGCCTCCAGTGATACATAAACTCATTTTAGATGCTCCGAAAAACTTTGTTGTAATTTTTTTTTTCAAACTGTTACTTATTTGAAACAGCAACAAGGAGTAATGTGTTTCATCCTTTCCACCTAGGCAATTATTTAACTTAATGGGTTCTGTATATGTGAAAACATTTCTGTGATTAATATTATGGTGTTACATTTTTTGAAAGCTAGCTATCAGTACATTTTGATTTCAGAGTGTCTGAAAGAGCTACAGAAAATTGAGAGCACCGAAACATTGAAAAAAACCAGCCACCTGATGTCTACACAGGCAAGGTATCTTCCTCAGTTCTGAAAGTTTTGATAAGTTCAAACACAAAAGCAACCCAGCAATTTCAATTTCCTTCTTCCAGCTTCAATAAATTAAATAAAGATCAGCTCCAGAGAAGCTCTATGCATATGAGGAAGGATAGATATTTTCCTCTCTATATAGGTAATTAAAAATATTTTGGAAAAAAAAAGATGGAAAGTTGCCAATTCATGCTAAATACACACACATGCAGAGGGAGGAGACTAAGCAAATATTGCACAACAGCACTACTGAAACCAAACATCCCACTGTATGCCAAGCAGAAGAGTAGCACTGCGTAAACACATGAATGAAACTCCAGATGGAAGCAGGACAAGTCTCAGTGTCACTTATATCATGTAAGTGCGTAAAACATTATGTCTTACACTTACTACAGCAAGCCTCTTCACAAAGCTAAGATTATTAACCCCAGATACCATCAACCCTTACAGGTTACAAAAGATCTTGAAAAGAAAGGAAACCTCCTCACAGCCGTTCTCAAAAGCTACAAGTAACACAAGTGATTAAAAAGATACAAGGAATTAATCAAAGCCAATTTAAACACACATTTTTGTATCCAGAACTTTCAGAGTTACCAAGAACAGCATTACACAGGGACCAGTTTCAACTACACACAGAGCTTCCAATGGTTTAATCAAATTAATTTAAAGCAACTAATGAATAAACACCAACTGGCTTAGAAGCGGCTTATTTTTGTTGACTAGACATAGTGTCGTAGACTTACAACGAACATAAGTATCACCTGCACCAATCAGTTTAAATACAACGCCAAAGTTTATGCAACACTTCCTAAGCAGTGCTAAGAAAACAGTAAGTCAATGATAATGAATGCTTTTTATTCTACTGTATCCAGTATGAGTGTACTTGAAGTGACAAAACGTCACTCTGTATAATGGAAATAACTTATGAAAGTGTTCCCTTTAAATTACATCACTGTTTTGATGTAGCACAAACACAGCAGCAAGCACCCAGTGTTTTATGACAACATCCTAATTAGGAGTTGGGAATGTTTGGCCATGTGACCAGAATGCTGAAAACTCAGTCCTAAGAATCAAAGCCATTTACAGCCTGTACTACCAGTTCATAATTTCTGATACCACAAAAAAAGTAACTGTATCCTACTGACTTTGAATACTGCTGCTCTTGAATGTTGAACTCTATTAGCAGACCCCTACATTTTTCAAGTGATAGTCAAATTTTTCAAGTGACAGTACAGATCTCCGTACTTCAACTTTACACATCTTGAAAATAGTCTTGCTTATCTCTCAATGACCTCTCACAAGCAGATGGCAGTCCCATAAAACATCGATTTTTCTTACATTCTCTAACAACAACAAAAGAAAAGCTTGCTACTATTCAAACAATTTTAAAAGCAGTACAAGATGAAAGTCTCATGATAAGCTTAAGGACTATTACAATAAAGAAGCTAAGATTTGTTTTGTTTACATGAGCACTTTTAGGAAGTTCTTAAAAGACAGCAGCCTAAATAGTGTGTAAGAAATTGATACACATTGACATATATGTCACTCTCCTTTTCTGAAGAAATCAGTTAAGTCCCTCAAGTTTCAGATGTCTTTTCCTATCAGTTACAGCAAACTACCAAATCAGGAGACAGCATCCTACAGATTAATATCCAGACTTCCACTTCCAATGCACAATTTGAGCTACAAACAAATTGATGATAGCATGGACATCAAATAATTAAACACTAATTATGTTTTGGATTAATTTTTACATCAGTGCTTTAGAAAGTATAATTATCCTATTTCATAGGTGATAAAAACCACTTTGCCTGGTGTTACCTACAAGGGTAAGGCAAAAGCAAGAAATAGAAGACAATTCTTCCAAAGCTCCACACAATATCACCTTTCTTTCTCCTTATGGATTTCTCTTAATTATTTTTACTCATTACGCATTTAGTGCATTTTATGAGCAATCATTTAATTTCCACCTTAACTTTCTCACTACATTTCAGAGCATATATAGATTGTATTCCAAGGCTTCCAAAGCACTGCAGCAACAATTCTGAACAATAATCTATTCTGAAAAGTTAGTATAAATGGAGAAGCCTAATGATTCAAAATGCACAAACCTAGACTTTACGCTTATATAGAGGATATATAGAAACTCAATACTTTCTGACTTTGAAACCCCATCATATTCAGACACTACAGTTAACCTTGAAAGATATTTACCCACAACAGAAAAGAAGGAATAGCCCCTGTTCCTCTTTATTTTACTTCCACAGAAAATAAAACCCTGTCCATGGTGTTACAAAAGCTTCTCAGTCAAGTTTTGCAAGTTTAAGATCCCATCTAGTATCTTTGTCATCACTGCAAGACAAACAAGAATAATACACTTGTTGTCCTACTTTGTGTAATTTTTGGAGATAGGAGAAAAACCTCCACCAACAGAAAAAAAAAATCTCCTTCCCCCGGCACTCACTGAAGATCCACACTACAAGTTTTGCCAACAGAACCAGAAGGCAGAGCCTTTCTAGAGGAGAAAGTGAGAATGGGAAGTTTGGGTAGATGTCTACTATCTCATATTTGCTGGCAGCATTTCTGAAGATACAAACAGGGAAACAAAATGTATGGGAATGGCCCACTGCCTTCCCTGATTTAACAAAATTACTGACTTACTACAAAATAAGCTACAACTGATCAGACAAACAGTTAAATGAACATAACATAGTACATAGCATAGTTAAATAGGAAAGCATTTGATTTCAGTTGGGATAGCTGAATAAAAAACTTCTATTTAACTGTAATCTTAGGAGAATATAGTAATTTTTTCCAATGAAAATGCAACTTTTCATATTAATTTAAATCTTATTTTTATGAAAGTAAAGAAATTTCCACATATTAGTTTACTGATCTCATGCACCAAGGCTTCAAATTAAGCAGAGAATTATGCCAAGAGAGCAAATCTAATATTTTAGAATCACAGAACCATAGAATGGTTTGGTTTGGGAGGGACCTTAAAGATCACCTAGTTCCAACCCCCCTGCCAAGGGCAGGGACACCTTCCCCCAGCCCAGGTTGCTCAAAGCCCTGTCCAAACTGGCCTTGAACCCTTCCAGGGAGGGGGCAGCCACAGCTGCTCTGGGCAAGCTGTGCCAGTGCCTCAACTCCCTCACAGGAAAGAATTTCTTCCTTACATCTAATCTAAATCTTTCAGTTTAAAACCGTTACCCCTGCTACTATCACTACACTCCTTGACAAAGACTCCCTCCCTCCCTTTCCTGTAGGGTCCCTTTAAGTGCTGGGAGGCCACCAAAAGGTCTCCCCAGAGCCTGCTCTTCTCCAGGCTGAACAACACCAACTCTCTCAGCCTGTCCTCATAAGGGAGGTGCTCCAGACCCCGATCATCATGGCCCTCCTCTGGACCTGCTTGAGCATGTTCTTCTTCTTATGTTTGGGGCCCAAAACTTGTTTCATTAAATGTTAGTATTCGGTTGAAAGCAAAAATTAAAGAGTCAAAATTAAACACAATGCTGCAAACAAAATATGAAACCTGTCTTGACCTATGCTTTATATTCAAGAATACTGTACTGTATTTGTAAAATTAGTTTTCCCTAAACATCAAGAATAACTGCTGCTTACACAGAAAAAGCAGACATCTAAAAGATACCATCTTTTTTGTTTGTTTGTTTGTCTCAACATGTAACCATTTTCATGTTTCCCCTATTAGTTGATAGAGTTGCACGTTAAAAATTAAACGTGCAAAGAAGTAGCAACATTGTAAACTGCCCAACGATTACAAGAACGCTTATTTTAATGTATCAGATCAGCTACCGTCGCAATGAAAACAAGTTTAATTTCACGCCAGTCTTAGTGATAATCCAAATCCATTATTTTCTTTTATTTTTTTTTCTCCCCCCCATATATATCTACCTACTTAAAACTATGTATATCTGCGCATAGATGACTGATAAACTGTGTTTCTAAAGCCGCCCGGGAAGCCTGTTGTTTTCCTTAGCTGGCTGCTCTTCAGGCTGCGCCTTCTGACATGCAGACAGGCAAGCCGTGGGTACAAAAGCGCAGAGCTCCGAGGAGCAGCTCTGCGTTTGCGTGGTCCAACTGTTAAGCCGCTCCCGCCGGTGCTACTCCCCCGAACAACAGCATTGTTTCCCGGGGAGGCTGAACGAAGGGAGACCGGGCTGCAGCACCAAGCCGCCTCCGCGCTGCCGGCGGCAACCGCAGACCACCGAGCAGAGGGTCTCCCGCTCGCGCGTCCCCGGGACGCCCGCCACTCCTCTCCCCCCGCCGTCCCTCCCCAGCGCAGCTCCGAGCACCGACCCCCGGGGCGGAGGGCCGGGCAGGGGGCGGAGGTGTCCCCCCCGCCCCGCCGCGGGCTGCCCGGGCGGTACCCGCTCCCCTCACGGCCCGGCCGGGCCGCAGCCAGGCGCGGCGGCGGCGGCCACCATCCTCCTGCTGCAAGGCCCCGGCCCAGTCTCGGGGGTGGCGTAAGAGCCGAGGCTGCTCCCGCAGCGGGGACCGCGGCTGCACCGTGCCGTGCCCTGCCCTGCCCGTTCCACCCGCGGCGCGGAAAAACCGGCCCGCGGCGCTTGCCTACCCAGAAGCTCTCCACAAAGTACGCCATCATCATCGCCCCCGCCGCCGGCAGGGAGCCCGGTGCCGGCCGCCGAGACGCCGCGGAGGAAAGGGGCCGCCGCCGCCGCGCCGCCCTTCCCGTTACGGCGCAACGGCCCGCCCGCCTGCCCCCCTCCCTCCCTCACGGCCCCACCGCCCCGGCCGCGCGCACGCGCCCGCCGCCGGCCCTCGCTGCGCAGGCGCACCGCCCAGCCCTCGCCCCTCCCCGGCGGGGCATGCGTAGAGCGGCGGCCGCCCGGCCGGGGGCAGCACCGGCGGTCGGACATGGCGGGCGGTGCTGTCCCCCCTTCACCTGCCCCCCCTCCCCCCCGGCTCGGTTTCTAGACCCTTCGATCGCCTGATGCAGGCGATGAGCCGGTGGGACTGATGCCGAGTACTGGACCATGACAGGGACCTGCTCCAGTGCCGCCTGGGGACACTGCACCTCGAGTGCTGTTTTTCGGGGAGAGTATCTTTTGCTGTACTCTGCCTGGCACCACGGGCCTCTCTCGGGGAGCCCAGGTAGTTCATGTTCTACTTCAGTGACATGACTTGATGCCCCAAACAGCAGTTAGGTTTTTCTTACTGACTAAAAACACAGCCAGGCCTAAGCGGTGGTGGTTGCTCACTGTCCCGTGCGAGCATGTGGTAAGCACTTTACCCAAACTTTATCCATGTTTTTGTCAGCACAAAGCTTTATCCAAGGCACAAAAAGTAAGACGCTGATATCCTATGCTGGGTGTTCAAGGTCCTCCCTTCCCCCTGCATGGAAACACTACCAGTTCTGGTTTGAAAAATCTCACCTGCCTCCACCTTTATGCTGATGTCCTTTGGCCTTCCTTCTGTAAGGAATTAAGTAAGGCACAGAGCAGAACATTTGGGTCATCCCTAAGAAACTAATGAATTCATCAACTTATGTCAAATGTAGTCAAATGCTGACAAAAGACTTACATGAAAGCCAAACAGGAAAAATATAGTTCAGAAGTTTACAGAGCTACAGAATTTCTTTAGGCAAAAGAGCACTAGTTAGGGCAAACAAGACAGTCAAATCATTATTCATATCAATATAAGTCAGTGCAATTCATTCTGCATTAAAAAGTATCAACTACCTTTATCAAAGGTACTGTCATGAAATATAAATACCATTCTGAGCTGGTATTACGGTTATTGGTAGCTGTCTGTAGCTTTAGTCCATCACTTCCTGTAGCTCTGTGGTAAGTTTAGGAATTGATTTCTTTCCAGCAATGCTGTCTCAAAGTTTCAGTATATGCAAAACTTGCAAAGTTGCTGATGCCGAGACAGAAAACTTCTGGATCCCTTTCATAGTAAAAATCTCTAAAAGCCCTAAGACTGTCAGATCTGTGTCTCTCTCTTTTGATAATAGTAGTAATCACGTGTACCACAATTCTAAACAATAATGACATGCTACAGGATTGCATTTAAGAAAAACTTCTTTATGCATCAGTTTACTTAATATAAATAAGAAGTCTGCATTATGATCTGAAGAAAGATACTAACATAGTACTTTTCAGCAGTGTGCATTGCTGTCTGTAAGGATGTACACCAGGTCAAACAGTGAGATAAAGTTTTATGATCAGAGCTGAAGGGTTTTATTCCATGGAAGATGCAAAAAGACCTTTCACAGGGCCCGATACTATGCTATGATGGAAGGAAAGTCAGATTCACTTGTACATTTTATAGAAAATTTCCCATCTTGCACATTTTCAAAGATAAATAGTAATGCCTTGTCTACTACCTTACTATATCTAGATGTGATTCAACTGCTGCAGTGCCACAGCAATCTACCATCACACAAATATCAAACCCATCCTCAGGTTTTCAACAACAGCTTTCCACAAAAATTTGAGTGAAATGCAAAATCTTAGACTTGCACTTTGAGGCATCCTGCAGCATAGGTACAGTTATATAGAAAACCACTTTGGCTTCTACCAGGTGATGATCAGGATCAATAGTTATATTCTGAAGGCACACTCGAATTCCCCATAATAAAATTAATTTCTTAGCAGTGAACTTTCTCTGGAACTCCATATACTATCATAAAGTGAGCTCTACCAGCAACAAAGAGCTGTTCTTAAACTTTACCATCCTACGTGCCGCATGACAATCTCGTCACTTATCTTTTAAAGTAGCACATACTGAAAAATCCTTACTAAGGACATTCCTATTATGTATGCTTCTTCTATGAAGACTGGCTTGGATAAGAAAATTGTAGATTACTGATTACCTTGCTTTATGTGCTGCTGGATATTATGTAGTGAGCATGACTGAAGAATCAGTCCATGTACCGTGCCAATGTCATGGTAATATCCAGTTGCTGTTTCTACCGTTTTTCAGTAATGCTTCTTGCATAATAACCAGCAGCAGGTATTAGCAGATATCAGCGCTCAGTATCTTGCACTTGAATTTAAAATTCAGTGTAAAGAAGGATATGGAGGTGTGATGGGGAGATGATTTTATGTGCTGAGTCAATATCCAAACAGTTTATTAAGGTCATTCTAGAAGCTGACAGATTCTAAGCTACATGCACATGAGATCTTGAGGTTATGAGACCAACTAAATATAGCACTTAAAGGCAGACACTGATGCTCAGCCATATTCAAAACAAATTGTTAGACATACTAGGAAAGGAACAGAGAACCTCATCCAGTATGTAAACCTGTGTGTGTGGGCACCTGCACCATGAATGCTGTGTGCAGTACTGGTACTTCTTACCTGAACACCCCCACCCTCCAATAAAAAACCCAACACTGCAAACAAAAAACAAAACAAAACAAAACAAAAAACAAACCACCTCACAAGACTGGGATAAAAAAAGAACAAAAACCACTCTAAGATATGGGAACTAACATCCACCAAGTAAACTAGAAATCTTCAGGCTGGAAGAAAGATGACTGAGAAAGAATACGATATAGAGAACTCATAAGACTAGAGATGAGTTAAAAATGAAAAATATGTTTTAATGAAAGCACAAGCAGAGAATTCAATCAAGACAGAAGGAAGGGGAAACTGGGCAAAGTTTCTAGATTTCTTTAGATGGAGAAATGGATTACTAAATACAAAGACAGTATCACCTTTTCTGGAAGTCCCTGATCTACACATTAGTGAAGCCTTTAAGAATACTTTGCAGTAGAATAATTTATAGTACTTTAACCTTATCCTCTTCCCTAGGTGTTGGCTGCCCAGGACAGGATACTGCCTTAGGTAGACTCTTTGTTTGTTCCAATACAATTGTACTTTTGTTCTCCTGGTGTAATGGAGGTGGACAGAAAGGAACATTAATTTGATAGCCATAACTGCACAGCGAGTCCTGTATAATAAGAAAAAACATTCCCATTGCGTATTTTCAGCAGCTTTCATGGAAGATCCAGATAGTTTTCTGGATTACTAATTTTTTAGTGGAGACTTTAAAAAAGCAATTCCTCTCCACTTTTGTCCACCTACATGAGTGTAAGGTTAAAGAACCACAACAGCAGACCTCACAGGTAGGGTATGAAGAACTAGAGAGACTTCTTGGCTATACTAGCTAAATTATATTTCATTAATATAATCCTAATTTTTGAAAAATGTCATTTGTCATTGGTGTGGGTTACACACGTGTGAAAGGAAGTATTTAGCTCAGAGTTCCCATCTCAGAAAAGCATCTCTGGTTCCACGGTTTGCTCTCTGCATCTCAATTTACTCATCCTCCTTTCTGGTTCTGGTTTTATAAGTATTAGTATTAGCTTATTTTCAACAATCAGTTCTTTTAAAGGGTGTAGATAATCTGAGATGTGGCATTATATACACTAAGTTTATTACTTGAAGGAACTTGGCAAATATGATACTAAAGATACAGTGCATTTAGACTACAGACATGAATAGGATTGAAAAATAAAGATTGTATACTATATTTTTACCTGTAGTAACTAAGCTAATTTGATTTATGACTGAGTCATTTGAAAATGGATTATGAACTCCAGGTAAAATAGCTGCATTTGATTATTACTAGAACCCTTAATGCATGAGCCTACAACAAAATGTGCTAATGTAAAATGAATAAAGAATCCAAATAATTGCCCCAAATAATTCAGATTATTACATTACTTTATATCATAATGAACTGCCAAAGAGCCAGTTGATATTTAAAGCTCTTTATAAATTAAAAATGAGTAAGAAACTGATTCAGGTAAAATAGATAATCTAACATTGCACTTTATTTTTAAAGACAACCTGAAGAAGCAGATAGAGGTAGAGCCATTTTATAGACTATATATATATATATTTCATATATCAGCTTGATGATGCCTTAAAAAATGCGTTTTCTTTCTTTACTTGCTTTCTTTACACCACTACACAAAGAATCATGATAGGTAAACAGGAATTTATACTGCCAATTGAGGCGTGTTCTGAAGATTATGAGCACCAGAAGGAGACATAAAAAGCCAGAGTTGTTTATCGTTGTGGTGGAGAACAAAAGATGGGGAAAAGGAAGACAGAGTGAATTGTTATCCAAGTCCCTTTCAAGAGTCATTTAACTTTTGTAAGAACTGTCAGGTTACCTTGTAGGATTTAAAACCACCAGGATTATGTTCTAACCAAGCAATTGTGCCTGAATACCTGCAGACATTACCTAGAAGTTTAATAATTCACTTGCTTATGACCTACACATTACCTCCATGACTAGACATTTACTGCAGCCTTTCTCTACAAAATGTGTAATGAAACTCCATAGACAGAATTTAAAGCTAGAAAATCTTATGAAAATAATTCTGGCTAGGAGAAAGAGATTATAAAGATAGAATAAAATACAGCTGACTTCAAATAATTTATTTAAAGGGTATTGGGAATTCTCCAACACAATCTTAAGACGGGCTAGTCCCTTTTCTGAAATATATGCACAAACTCAAATTGTGGTCTGATGAGAGGTAACTGGTGAGATTATGGTCTACATTACACTTCTGGGTTGGATGAATGTTTCTAATATATTTTCTGAGTTTAAGATAAACAAAAATATTAATGCACAGTTTTAGATAGCCACATTAATTACAGTAAAAGATCAACTGATTTTTTTTGTAACTTGATGCAATACCTCATTGAAGTTCTTTCAAAGCCAGTAATGAATTCTGTGTTCTGCTGAAGATTTAGAGCAGGTTTTAATGACACTGTTTTCAACATCCCTGAAATGATGTATTCCATTAGGCTGCATCATCTGACTCACTGTATACTTAAATGCACATTTCTATTGATCTAGTCACCAAGCTTGATCGTATCCCATTTATTACTTCAATTACTTAAATTATGAAACCAACAGCATTGTTTCAGAGTGAGTCATTTGGTGCCAATACTCCACCTTTATTACTCTTCTGTTCCGTTGCTGCCAAAAGCATGTTTCACCAAATCAACCTTCAATCAAATGGAAGGATTAGAAAGCATTAGTGAACATTAGTAATGATGAACCAGAATAGTTTAATGGTTATAGATTCCATTGTGATGACTCTTAGTCACACTTCAGCCCTGCATGAAAAATTCTGGGAGACTTCTAATTTCATCTGTGTTCTATGTAAGATGGGGAAATAACATGAAAAATTATTATGCTGTTATACTGTCAAGAATACATTCAATGGTTACATGAATTTATATTGTTGATAAATCAATGTATTTGACATCCCATATATGTTTTAAGCACTTACCTGCAAATATGTCAATCAATAAAACTTGAAGCAGCTTATTTGCAGTCAACTAGTAAAAATGACATAAATGAAAAAAGACCGAAGTATTTAAAGCAGTTGAATTCCATGAAAAGGAAACAAACCTGAGGTGCTTAAAAAATCAAGCTCCCATTGTATAACTTCACTTGGTACCAAACTACTCCCTAGTACCTAGACACAAGCAAGATGTGGTGTCCAGGTCACAAAGATCTTCTCCGCTCTGGTTATAATATATGACAAACAGAAAAGGTAACGGGTGGTGGAAGGGTCTGAAGCTAAGGTAACAAGATTACATGGTATTTCAGAGAAGTATTCCTAGTACAGCATATTGGAATAAATCGTGCTTAGGTTCTTAATTTAACCAAATGCAGTTTGTCATCATTACTATACTAACAAAGAAGAATTGCAAAGGATTGGGAATAAGTTTATGAAAGACAGGAAATAAAGTAATGAAAGACAAGTCTGGACAGATTTTTTTAGCTGCCTAGGTAAGAAGCAGCTATTTGAAATATTGTGAGAAATGTAGATGATTTGGTTATACAGATACTTAATTAGGATTGCACATTAAAAATCAGAATGGCAGTATGAACAGGATGGTCAGTGAATGGTTTGCATTTGGGCAGCAGTTGTGCTATGTGAAAATAATTCTTACCTTTGATTCTTCACAACGTTCATATATGTACATCCTAGTGCGTACTAATAGCAGCCACCAGCTTGAGTGGCTGGAAGAAAGATGTGAACTTCACCATGTCCTTATCTTGGTAAAATTCTTAATGCCTATATGATGTGCAGACTGGTAGCAGTAATGATTTAGAGGGCCCTCCTGTCTCCACACACTTCAAGGAACATCCTGTTATCTCTCCCAAATTTGAAATTAAGTTACCGAGGTTTGTTTTTTTTTTAAAAAATAAGTAAAAGTAGCCAAGATGCTGATGGTTCTTAAATAGACAAACTAAACTCTGAGTTGTTACATTGGACAATTATTTACCCAGCAACCCCCTGTTAAACAATGACATTTTATAGGCTGAGAAACAGTTACAAAGATAAGTGAATGCCTGCAACAAACAAGACCTGTGGTCTAGGGTCCAGCTAACTTCCATCTGGTTTTGGCCCAAAGACGACAACGGTTTTGGTGTGTAAGGCCTTCAGCAATGAGGATGGTCATAAGCAAAACTAGAATTAGCTACATCTGCCCATGTCAGAGTATTGGAGAAAGTGATGCAACTATCTTACTTAGTTATGCTAAGGTATGTAAAGAAATAAAATTAATACTTTAATTCCTAAGGTATGTAAAGAAATAAAATTAATACTTTAATTCTTACTTTGTCATGGGATTCACCTGTTCTTCCAAAGTATTTCCAAATCTAGAATGAAAAGGGGCACATATTTACACACCTGGGGTTATTTTGGACATGTTTCTAAAATGTTTATTTGAGCATGCACATTTCAGAATGAAAAATTTACATGCAAGACAATGACCATCATTGTGTTGAGGAGAAACAAAGCCCACGATGTTATATGACTCAAAATTTCCTTTTGCGATAAGGATTATGTTAAAGGAATATACCAAAAGATGTCAAGATGCGGTTCTGGGGAGAAAAGTATCACCTCAGAATTTGGTTGTAAAACAGGGTTTTTTTATTGTTGTTCATAGTTTTTTTTTTTTTTTATATATATATATATTTTTAATGCTATCATTCACTATGAGTTTTCAAAATAAAGTCTCCTTCAGTTTCTTTATCTGCAAGCCATAGAATAACCTTGACAAGTTAACACGAATGTACAGCTGAGAGATAGCTTGAGAAGCCTGCAAATTGAATGTGCCCTACATGTAAGGACATTCCTTGACAATCATTTCAAGAGAAAAGGACAGGCAAATTAACATTGCTACTCATTGTATGCAGTACTTTATCAGAAAAAGAAAATTCCATTTGGCATTTGTATTAAGCAGTGGGGTTGCAGAGGTAAATAATAGAAAATTTAAAAATATCTGTACCAGTTATAGTAATATTGCTGTATGCTGTAAACACAGGGGAAGACTTCAGGTTCCCCTGTATATTTAATAGGGGAAATTTATGACTACCCATCTTGCCAAGGGGAAAATAAGAAAAGGGAAAATGGCTAAAACTGTCAGCAAACTAGTTTGATGTGTTTTATTTCCATATTTTAAATGTAAATTAAGATTTGACAAAAAAAAAATTACACCTAAAGCTACAAAATAAATACCACAATTTTAATTTTTATGATTTAAATGATTCTTTCAAAAAAGAATTGGTGCCACAAAAAACCCCTGAAAAACTATGACTGAAAAATAATTCCTTATGTGCCCTCACTTACATATATGTATTAATACGTGTACAGCATAATTACACATGCTTTCCTTAAAAAGTAGACTGATTATTGGAAACAATCTCTACCATTATTTAGATTAACATTTGGATGCCATTTGGGAGGTTTTGATGGTATATACTGCTCATTTTATGCAAAACAATGGTAACTGCCTCCAAAATAAATGGACTTTACATATTAACACATAAGCAGTATGTTTCATTGTGAGTCATTCTGGGAAAACAGAAACTACCAATATCTATTCTGCAAGAAATTAACATGCATCAATTGTTTTACATGCACAATGTTCCCACTGAAATGCTTATTCATTCAAGTACATCTTTAAATTAGATGCTTTTTTGTTTTGTTTAATATCATGATCTATGTTGAAACTACAATCCTTTGCACTGTTGCATTCTTACCACAAACTTTGTCATAACATTAATTTCATTCAAGATGCTAGTACTTACTCTACTCATCTGGTTTGTATGTACAGGTAGCAGTCAAACTCAGAATTAGAGGCCACAGCTTAAGATCAGGCTCTAAGCTGATAGCAGGAGACTTGAACAAAACACCTGCCTGACAGCAGGATGTTCTATCATGGGCACCCCACAACATAAGGGGAGTGGGGAGGGCTATTTGAAAGAAAACAAAACTTGCCCCCGCTCCCTGCCACACAGCCACTGGTGCATTCAGCCACCGGTGCACTCAGCCACCAGGAACTGATCTCTGTTAAACAACTTGGTTGCTACCTACCTACGCTGCTGCTAACAGCTGCTCCACAGCTTCTCCTCTTTCTGGAGGCAGAAATCCAAGTCCTTCATTAAGCAGACTTTCAGCTGAGCATGTAGAAATTAGCTTCTACAATAAATTTTGTTACAGTAAGTAGTTACATTGTAGCAATGTGTTTTATTGAATTTAATCATTACACTAGAGAAGCTATCTGTGCTAGACATAGGTGGTTGTCTAAATTGTCTACACGCTATTGACCAACTGTTAAATATTGGAAGTGAACATAAAATGTTCAAATCAGCATGGGTGGATTTTGTCCAGAGAGCTGCTATTGTTAGTTTCATACTTTCATTTTAGAGATTCCTGTTTCAGGAAGTTATATAAATGGAAGGACAAGTCTTTAAATAGTTTGCATTATCACGGTCCCACAAAATCTAAATAAAATTCAACTAAGACCACTGCAAGTTTTGGTTCAAGGTCTTAAATAATTTTAATTTATTTCTAGTTGACTACTTTTTTTTTTTTTTTTTTTTTTTTTTAAATTCACATTATTGATAACACAAGCAATGAGAACAATTTTATTTTTTCCCCCCCTTTCCAATTTGGTCAGACCTGGCAAGCATCAGCTATTTCAAACAAAAATACAGTCAATCTACCATTTCTCAGTAGTAAAGCAATTACCAGTTATCACCCAACAGGCATTAAATTTTAGTTCACATAAACCTCCTATTTCTACATTGATTGCTCTCAAGCAGCATGAAGCATCTAAACCAAACTGACCTTAACTTATCTAAAGAACATTTTCTTTCAGATAAAATGAAAATCCTTATTCAAGAGACTCCAGAACTTATATGTATGAACCAGAAGAGTGCACTACTGGGCCAGACAAAACATAAACTGAACATGAAATATTAATATTTCATTAAAAATTGGAATGCAACATCTATATTTAAACAACTTTATTAACATAGTCAAGCAGTGATTAACATTCACATCTATTATGTCACATCATACAAATGTAAATACAAAATTACTACAGTACAATATATATTCTCTGCATGATCCAAAATATTTGGTGGCCCCAAAAACTCTTTAAAATTCAGCAGCTTATCAAAAATTAAAACCATATTCTATTTAAAATGAAGTTCTGTTAGCACATAGGCAGACTTCAAGAAATACCACTCAATTTAGTACAGTTTGAGAGGTTGCAGGATATGTTTGAAGGAAACATTCCAACGTTGTGGCAGATACAGAAACATCAGATTTAAAGCTTTCAGGCAAAACTCATACAACCTAAGTTGTCAGCAGAAAGATCCAGTCATCTTTCATTTTAAACTATTTTGTATACTGCATCCAATTTAAAATGTTAGAATGTCTAGTATTAGTAAATCAGACAATGTACAACATAACTACCTATCTCTTCCATGAAAAAAAATATTAGAGTGGAGATTTCAACAGCCAAGTGAACGTGCTTATACCAATCTGTTTTTTTTCTAACCACTGTCCTTGCAAAAAACACTCAGGCCTTCTCAATTTTGTTGCCCACCCAAAGGAAATAGATACCTAAGGCAAAAGTAGCACAATAGAACCAGCTTATAGAAAAATGACACTATACTGTAAGAGTTGAATTCTTCAAGACGTGGATTTGGCTTACTTAAAGTATACTGTAACACCACACAGGAATTAATCTTAAAGAGCCATTTTAAACTTCCCTCATATAAGTACATTCAAGTGAGCAATTATTCTTATTATTTTACCAGAATATACTCTCCAAGGCAAGAAATAAGAGTACTTGCCTCAGTTTCCGACTTAAAGTAATAGTCTAAAACTGGCTTGCTCCAACCATCAAGTGCAAAGAGCAAGCATCAGTGGCAGACAAAAACCAGCTTCTATCAGAGAATACCTAGAAGACTGATGGATGCAAGTCATTCTGGAGAATGCATAGGTGAGTGAAATACACAGCTACTGATCAAGCTTTATTTATTCAAGATGAGGTTACTGGAAATATGTAATATATAACAAATATGTATGCAAACTACATCAGCATCTATCTGAGATAACTGCAGGATGTTTTGCCATTTCACTGTAGAGCTTAACCTTTATCTAAGATAAAAAGTTACTCTTTAGACCCTATATAGAAGCTTTACACTTCTATCATCCTCATGAAAGAGACAATATTGAAGCAATTAGTGTTAAGTTGCAACTTCTTTCCTTGACAAAATCTGAAACAAATGATTTCCAATATAATGTTGCATTTAAAGCATTTTTCAAGAGATATTTAAGTTGTTTGAATATGGATGCATTCTCCTCAAGGGAAGAATGTTTTTGCACCTTATCTGTTAATACATTCAATATGAATAAAATAAGTGAAGCAAAAGTCATTATTGTCCCACAGTAGAAGGTTAATTTAGAGTAAGTTTGAGACATAGGAGCTGCCTAAATTAAATACATAAACCAATAGAACTAAGACATTTTTATTAGCATGTGTTCTGAACAAAAAGGGTACAAGAGTATTCACCTGAGATAAAGCTAGTGTTTGTATATTTCTAAGTAGCAATGAGTTTCGCTTGAGGAAATCCACTTGAAGTTTTAAAATATACATTTTACTATTATACAATATATGCAGTTAAGTAATTAAGATTGATGCTAACATAAAAGTCCTAACAACAAAAAAAAATCACAGTGTGTATCAATATTAATTACAAAATTTATGCTACTTCATAACTTTTAAAAATTATGATTATAAATTTTAAACCCATTCTTCTAAAAGTGACCTTTTGAGTACAAGCTTTACGAAGCAATAAACTAAAGCATAAGAATTAGCTTATTACAATTTAAATATATACATATTCACTGATTTAGAAAATAATCATGCTTTGGAAAAAATTTACAAAATTGATTAATTTTGCTTGCAGTGGTTAAAATAATGAGCTATTTTAATCGTTTTCCCTAAATGAAATGAGCTGTTTCCTGAATGTGTAATGAAAAAAATTTAGTACTGAACTTCACTTAAGACTAATTTAACAGCAATTTAGAACTGCCAAAAAGACGCATTTGTAAAGATTTTAAATACACTTTCTGTTACCAACTTAGGTTGATCAGCAGCTTTTGTTCACTCTCAGAATCCTTCAGAAAGGGAAACTCAGAACAGGAAAAAGGCATATATAAAAACAGTAAACACTGACCTCCTGAGGTTCCTACAACAAAAATATTCAAGTAGAAAACTACACCATTACTTAGCAGCGGCTATTTCTGTAGTTTAGCACACTAACAGCACTTTATTCAGTGTGTAAGGAGCAAATGAAGTAAGCCGTGCTTTTAGCATGCCAAGAGGCAGAAACACTGGAATGTAACAAAGACAAACTCACAACTCTACCAGTATAAACATTCAGTCAACATTCAAGAACTGTCAAGACTACACCACAAGAATTAAGATGCTTTTTATATATCCCATGATGCAATAACTGAATTATGTTAATGCTGATTCAGAACATTTCTTACCTCACATTATACTCTAAATGGCTTCTGCAAATCTCTGCACTGTATTATGCATTAGTAGTATGTTTATTTGCTTTAAAATATACCATGAGTGAACTTACTGATACAAAAGACTGTTTTGTCAGTACTGTTTATTTCTGCCTTATTTTAATTATTTTCCTTGCTGTTATACCAGATCAGTTCACATCTGTACAAGTACCTATTAAAATATGTATGTACAAAAGTGGCATCCTAAGCTAATCTGAGGTGAGGTGGAATGGTTTTATTTGGTTAAAAGGGCTTTCTCAAATTTAAAAAGATTAGTTAAAACTCAGATTCTAGCTGTTTTGCTACAGTATTATTTGAGTAGGTTTTCTATTCTAAAAATTTTTTAAGGTAATTTCTCTGGAACTCTTCCCTGATGTTCAAACACACTCAAAATTAAAGCAAGTTTGGGTCTAAAATAATATCCTACCTTGCTAAGTTTTAAATTTTTGTTGGTTTTTTCCTTCCAGAATTTGGTTTTAAAGTGTTTTTAGTGACTATTACTACTTTACTTCAAAGTTATTAGTTAAGGAGGAATTTGGTATTTGCTACCAAAGCAATGTAGTTTAAAAGCAAGTTATCACATGCAACTTTTATCAAATTGAATAAACACTATATACTAGCATTACTGAATGTATTTCATCCAGTACATGTCCAAACTGTTCTTCAGACACAATCCATTACAATTTGCAAAGCCAAAAAAAAAGGGTGTGGAGGGCATGTAAAACATGCATGCTGTCATGCATAAAAAAAAAAAAAAAAACCCAAACAACAACAACAACAAAAAACCAAACAAAACAAACAAAAAAAAAAAACCAAAAAACCCCCAAAACCTCTTTCAACAGCATGTATAAATTCACACTCACACAGCTCAAAATTCAGTGCAATGGCTAAATCATTCAACAGTCAAAGAACAGAACCATGCAAAGAAGAGCAAGTTCTTAAAAAAACCCCAACCAAACAAAAAAAAAAACCCCAAAACTGTTATCCAGTATCCATTCTGCAATGCAAAGGTGAGAAACTAAATCTACAAAAAGGCTGTTATGGCTTAATTTTGTTTTGCAGATTAATTATGCAGCACTTGAAAAATGGAAAGGTGTGGCTTCACCTCTGACCAGCAGAGTTAAAAATCTCTCCATTTTCCTTTTTCATCATGGGATACTCTTTAGGCAATCTAAATTATTAAAGACTTGCCACTTTCAGATGGACACAAGATCAAGTGTACCAGTTAGGATTTCACATTCACAGTACATAAGAAAATACACATGAAAGGAAAAGTAAAGGGTTAACTTAACAAGGATTTATTCACAGGAGTACATGTAAGTAGAGAAAAAAAACACAACAGAAAAGCTAAACAAATGAAATGAAGAGGATCCAAACCAACTTTCACTCTGTAGCTTTAAACTTGCACCCTTGTGCATTTAACTACGTCACAAAGGGCCACCAACATGCGCCAATACAGTGTAGATACCCTGCATTACATCCATAAAATTAAAACATCTCTTTAAGATCATGCTTTGAACAAAAAGAAAGCATAGAAGGTAATATGTTGAGTTGGAATAAACACAAATATATCAATCATGTCATCAACTTCTACAATTGTCTTTACGTGCCAACTAACATTTATGCAGCCTTTAACAGGTCTTACCATGTAACTCTTTTTTAGAGATTCTGAGAAGATCACTAGTATATAACCATGCAGAAAGCACATCACACTGACAGCACAGAGGCAAATATTTTGCACAGCTATATCAGCTTTCCACATTGTGCAGGTTACACACAATACAATATCAATCTTATTCTTAACAGATCCTAAAAAGGTATTTCAAGGCCTAATTGTTTACTACAGTACTTTATATCTATATTCTTAAGTAAAATCCACTGAATCTTCAAAAAAGGAATTTTAAATGCAGGGCTATATTAAATTGGTAAACTGCAACACAAAACTGGCGCAACATAGGTAAGTGTATACCAATTTCACTCTATGTGATGCAAGCATGCTACTTTCCCACTAATTTAAATGACTTCTGATCACTATGAGCCAGAACACATGCCTGAACCTTAAACTGCACGTTAAGAATAATGCCTTACTCTAGAAATAAAATCTAATGAAGTACAATAATCAAATCATATTCACTACTTTAATTATTTTTTAAATGTAAAAATTAAGATGTCAACCTTTCCTTTGAAGTGTCCCTCCCCTTACCCCAAAAATCAAAGGAGTGACTCCTTTGGCAGCTTGCAGGTTGCTTCATTTTGTCCAAGTTAATCTTTATTAATTTATGATGGGGTATCTAATATTGTACACTGCAAGTGCCTGTTCCTAGACACAAGCTGCATTTTAAATGTACTAACTTCATTTGTGTAGTTCTTCATTAACATGCAAATACCTAGGAATCCCATCAAGCAGGATGAAATAATGTAGAAAACCCTTACTTAAAAAAACTTGAAAGAAAAAAGAAAGCCTTTTACTGTTTGTGACCCCCATTCTTAGGTTTCCTTTATTGTGCGCAAAGTAGTTTTCCTCTTTACGTATCCCTATGGTTCAATTACATAGTTCTTATTTTGGTAAAATCCCCTACAATATTCCAGAATGTGCTGTTTTGTGACTAGATTTTTTTTTTTCTTCTTCACATCCAGTGCAGAGTTGTAATAGGAGACAGATTTCCACCCACAAAGGCTCCAGATGTTAAAACATTTCCCAACATCGACTTAATACAGTAACGGCAACACCTCCCTCCCGCCCCTCCCAGTAGGGTTGGGATTGTACTGTATTCCCTACTGGTTTACCCTTCCCCCCAGTAAAGGGTAGCATTTTCCCTGGGTGCAGAGGCTCCCTCATAGTCTCCCAGACTGAAGGACCTGTAAAAGATAAAGACATAATTAAATCTCACCTTGAACCTTAACTGATAGATCTGTGCATAAACAAAGTACATTTTTTTGTCTTTTTTCATCAGTTGGTGCCAACTTTTAACTGAAAAACAATTTTATGCCTAGATTTTCCCTTTTACTTTCTCTGTAAAGAAAAAAGCCTATTTATATCAAGTAAATTATTATTCATGAAACAACAATGTATGCTTTTACACTGACAGTTCCACTATTGTGGCTAAACTTAGATTTAAGATAAAAGCTGTCCTATCTATTCTAACAAGCTTTTTCATTTCTAGCACAAAATTATGAGGTAGTTATGACATTGAGAAAGAATACTAAATATACCTGCTACTGATCCAGCAAGTGCACTTTTAGGCAGATTAAATAAGATAGTTTACTGTCTTCTCAGTTCAAATTGAGAATAATGGTGGATTTTATTACTTCAGATTCCTATTCATTAGGAGAAAACACCCTTCTGTCAGAACTAGAAGGCCCTCATTAATAAATACGCAAATGTTTGAAATTGGGTTATTTTTAATCCACTTTTCAGACTAATCATGTAACTCAAATAGGATTTCTTATGTCACTGACTTTGAAAAAATCTTAGACTGCCTTTTAAAATAGTTGTCCAGTCAACAATAAAACAGAACTGCAGGATTTACTTCCATAATTTTGGTACAAAAATTCTACAGCAAGTATCAAATTTATACAAAGACTGAATGAATAAACTTAATTCACCCTCTTTTTTGGGTAGTATAATAATCTCTTCACAGTATCACATTACACATGCAAAATTTACTTTATACAGTGTGCACAGGTAGCAGATGAAGCAAGGCGCTATAATAATAAAACTATTCTAGAATGCACTATCACTGTTCTTTGCTGAAGTTGAATCATTACACAAAACTGTAACAATTCTAAATTGGTGGACAAAATGCAACATGGCAATAATAAACATATTAGCCTCCCCAAAACATCAAGCTCTACAGTGACAGTAGTTACAGATTAGCATAACATCCTTTATTCAGTGTAAAGATCATCTAGTATGTGGTTAGGAATATATAGGACTTCTCATGGCTAAAGTGTGTTAACAAACTTGCTTTCTTATCCTAGAGGAATACTGCTGCTTAGATCACATCTGCAATCTGCTAGGCTGTGTCTTTATTATGATGGCTTGAGGATCATATTCATCACTTTACTTATTAAACTTCAACCAACAGTCTGTTATCCCTACAGTTCCAACCTTATCTTGATACACTACTGTGTGTATCATACACTCTTTCTTTCTCTCTCCCTTGCTCTGTAAAAATAAAATAACAGAGGCAAGAAAACTGCTTTTGACACAGCTACCATCCTTTAGGTATACTATCATTCCTTTTTCTCCTTTTTATAGGAAGGAAAGAAATCCCATCCAGTGTATCTGAAAAATTCTGGTCTGATGAATTAATTATGTTTCATATAATGCAAACACGGAGAAAGTCTCTTATACAGCTCTGTTTAGCAAGGAAGATTTGTGTACTTACCTCTAATTATGGGACTGCAGCTACATTGCATGAGGTTAAACTCCATAGTAAGCTGCAAGGCGCTCTTTTAAGGGAAGAGGAAACTGGTCAGAGAAACGCCTCCAATTCTCATCCCCAACTTGATTTTTAAATCCATGAAGAATCTACAAATGAGAGAGGGGAAGTCAAGATAATCACTAAACAGAGGATACATTATTTACTACCAACAGATGCAGTAAGCCACAGAGTGCTGGATTGTACATATGTCCATTTGAATTCTCCAATTTAATACCAAAATGCTACTAAGAAACAAAGGAAGTCTGGTAATGTCTTTCATAACTAAAGTATTTTGTCTTTAAAGGGTGACATAGAATATAGCTACCCACACAAATTAGTGTGTGTATACCTCTCTGTATTTTTAATGAGTAAGGTGACTTACAAACTTGAGTTAGGCCATTTCAGAATGCTACGCATTTTATCAATTGACACAATTTATATACATTAAGGTTACTGTATTCATATTTCTTTTAAAAATGTGTAATATGTTATAAGAAGAAATCTGACCCACAACTGCAGCCAGTATTTGACAGAATGAGTACCTGTCAATTTCTAGTAGTGTTTAGCTCCAGTGCTAAAAAACAAATCAAAACAAAAAAAAGAGAAATACTGGACAATCCATTTTTTCCCCATTATATCTGAAAGGATAATTATTGTTGAAAAAACATCTAACTGGACTGCAGCAATCACATATTCATGAGGAAGAAATGTAAAAATCATGTATGACATCACTTGAAGAAATCTAGGTCTCCTCTCTTGCATAGCAAAAAGCACAGAAGAATACACTTTAAAAAGCAAGGATGTCCTTATGTCAAGTGACCAAGAACCAGTGAGTCCAATTTAAATGCATTAGATCCCACATGGATAACTTGGAAAGAATCTGAAAAAGAGGAACCTAACTTACTGAAGCAAGTATTCAGTTCTGAAGGACCAGTGCAGAAACATGCACTGACACTGCTTTGGACAACCATCACAGACAGCATCCTGGACTTTCTTTTAAGCTTGTAAGTATTTGCAGTTTCTTTCTGCTGATGCAAGACAGCTGTGTGCTTCCTGGACACCATGCTCCTTTGGAGGAGACCAGTTATCCGAGAGGCTAACTCGGACAGTAAGATTTCTGTCCTTGCTCTTAAAGATGGGATAAAAAAGTTCTAGCTTCTGTTCCGATTATCACACATGGCATTACTTGAAGAAAAAGTGCCAATACTGACCCACGATCCTAGCAAGTACTTAGGAATATGCTCAGTTTTTGCTTTAAGAAGATCATCAGGAACTTTTGACGTACATCCTTCCTAAAAGCAGAGATTCCACTTTACATTTATGAGGGGAGCCACATTACTGAACAGCAAAGGCACCTGTTTTGTCAAACTGAAGTAAGTTTATTTTATTTTATTTTTTTAATCCAAGACACTAGTGCCAAAATACAACATATCACATTCTGGGTGGGGGTTTTGTGCTTATTTTACTCAAGGCAAACAGTCTTTTTGCTTAAATTATATTGACACTTTGTTTAGGGATGTATTCTTGGGTATAACTGTATGTTAGTTTCTTGAAATTTGCTCATCCAAGAGGGATTCTGAGGAAGATTAAGCAATCCCAGAAATTTATTTTCAGCAGAAGTAAGAAAGACAGATCAGGACACCACTGGAATACTTTTAATTTGCAATTTTCTAGATATTTCTCCAAAATAAAGTAGGCATTTTCATGGCAAAAAAAGTCTTGAACCATACAAAGCTCATTTTCTAGAAAAAAATCTTAAAATGTGGTATGAAACCCCTGTTCTTCCAAATTCAGGCAAAACATAGCAAGCTGGACATTATGAAAAGCTCTCTGAGGATGATCACCCCTTCAAATAAGATCAAGCTAATTTTTAAATATTGTTAAAGAAAGTTTGGGATAACCCAAATGCATATAAGAAAATACAAGTTAAAAAATTCAGGATTTTTATGTTGTTTTGTCTGAAAATATATGACCTTGCAAAAAAGTCTCTGTGACCACAAATACAGTAAGTGCTAACAGTAGGAACAGAAAGCAAGAAACAGAGGATCCAAAACAATCACTGTTAGGATATGCTGTTATATTAGAAGCCTTACCTTACAGAACATGTCTCGGAGATCATCTTTTGGGCTAATCCACGATGCAACAGCATCACAAAAAAAAATAAAGTCCTATAAGATTAAACAATCACATAGGTTAGAAACCTCAATTTATAGGTCTGAAAACAATGCCTGATGTTCATTATATGTCCTATGCAGGGTCTTTAATCCTAATTCACATCAGCTTTTGTTGTTATCTTCTTTTTTCCAGTTAATTCAGACAATAATGGTAAGTTATTTTACGCCTAAGTGTTCAGAAATAGAAACAGCTAAGTGTAGGAATAGCTTTATTTCATCAGGTTTTTGATTAAAAAAACCCCAGTTTTAAAAAACCAACTCCCTTCTCCCACACCACAGTTGTCTAACATTAATTCTTTTAGTACACATACCAGGTTCAAGAACCAATCACCTTAGCAAGCTCAAGACCCCAGTCACAACACTGGGTCTCTCACGCACTTCCAACTGGGTTAAAAAGCTGTTTTATTTCTTTAAGCAGAGACAGAAGTCTTTTCTGGGACACACAGAATATTTATCATACAGGTTCAAAACTAAAGCCACCCCAAAATTCCTGTATTTTGTTCATCTGCTGTGATGCATACCTTCTACTACATCATTAAAACATCTGTGTTTAATTATTAAGTTGATAATGCACATTTTTTTGGGCAGGACCCGAGCAGGATAAGAACTACAGTGAGGAAGAGATGGGATAATGAAGAGAGTCTTTAATTATCCCCTTCCCTTAAACTATGTGAAAGAACAAATGGAGGGCAGAAGAGGGAAATGCTGAGTATAGAATAAGGCATAAGTGAAATGAACTGAACATTTCAAAACAAGGTCAAAGCTCAATTCTTGTGTTTCAGGAAGAATAATTCTAGACAGAAGAGAGGGAAAATCACCTTTATTTTCCTCTTATAAAATACTACATTGGTACAGCTTTACTTTGGAGGTGTGGAGACTAAAGAGCAAATCATAATCTATTCTTCAGATGTACCATTTTTTTTAAAGCAATGCATGTTCCTTGTCAAATTGACTATTTAAGCAGTATATCCAAAGTTGAAACAGAATCTTCCCTACCCAAGTTTTAAGAATGAAGGGGTGGTTACTGTTTTTGTTTTGTTTATTGTTTTAAAAGCCTAGGTTACATTTGGAAAATAGGTTTACATATGTCAACTTTTGCCTTGTATCGTCATACAGATCCTGACTACAACTTGACAGAAGTACCAAAATAGTTATTTTAATCAAAGTTCATTTATTTACATGTACTTGGTAAGTAAAAGACAAAAACTGAATTTAACAATACTCTTCTCCTTTCCTTTGCTAGGTGATAATTACTGAAGGGTCCTGATATTCACCATTTGTAATATAAACATTTTGGCCTTTGTGACCCCAACATAAAGCTACAAAACATACTACAGGGAATCACGTGAGGCTAAACTTTTTGGTAGTTCATATACAGGTTTCACTAAATTTCACGTGAGTAAAGAAAAGAAGTTAAGATCTATTCAGGTATCTTACTTGGACTACTCCACTGGGGTTGACCGAGATCATGGTACATATCCCACGGAATGCTGAATCCTTTTCCTCATTGTCTCTTATGTTTCGCAGAGAGGTGCACCTAGCAAGTTGGAGAGCAAAATTCAGCTAACTCTATTACTTCTTCTTCAATCAAGTCAGAACTAGATGACAGTATTTGATGGAATAAGTCACACTGATAAGATGATCTGAAACACTATTTTGAACACTTAGAAAAACACTTGTTGCACACAGTCTTTACTAGCATATATTCCCATTAGGCATCATCTCCAGAATGCTGTTCTCCTGTTGCACTATGTACACTTAGGAAGTGTGACCTGTATTCCATTAAATACAAAAGAAACATGTATCTGAAATACTTATATAAACTATCATTATTAGAAGCGGAACATATAATACTATCACAGTATGAATTATGTCAGATACCACTTACAGAACAGTTATTTAACTTTTACAGCAGCAAGCAAGCTATTTTATACATAACAAATCTATAAACATATATTCCTTACAGCAATTCAAGCCTCAGACTGAATTTTAAGTAAAGTAATGCACGGTTTAAGTTTTACAGTATTTGCATGCGTTGTATTATCATTCTGGTGGATTTTAAAATGCTCTTTCATAGTCAAGCTTTAACACAGCAAGCATGTGACAATCTTATCCCATGCATAAATTAGTCGTTAGCCACAACATAAAGAATACATGACGGTGCTACTAAAAACTCACAAACCTGATAGGACAAGATTAGTCACATGGTTGGCAATGATTAAGGATTGAGATTTTGTAACCAACTGAAAATATATCTAAAAGTGAGATAGAGAGAAGAAAGAAAGAAAGAGAGTGAAGAAAAATGAATTAAAAAAAAAGATTGAATAATACACACCAGGGTCTTATAAACTGCTGTAGCATGGGGGCCACCTCTTGAGGACAAACGTAACCAAGACGACCAATTGTTATTGCTAAGGTAACGCAATCACGGTTATACACCACCAAACGCCAACCAAGACATGAGCAAATGAGGGGGGAGGAGAAAAAATAAAGAAAAAACAACAAATAACTCAGAAACAGAAACCAACAGAATCCGTGTATGATAATAAACATAAGATTTCACCAGTGTTGTTTATTACCACCCCCTAAGTAAGAGGCAGCAACATATATGGTATACTCTCCAGGGTAAAAGAAAAATTAAAGAAGTAAATGAGAGAACACCAAAAACACAATTTAAAATCCAAAGGCTTTCTGATGTAAGCAATCATTCTGACCTCTTCCAAGTAACCTCTTACAGTAAATTTACCTAACGTATATTTTGAAGTTTTTATTCAAATGTACTATTATGGATACTCTTGATAAAAAGGAATTAATAATTTTCAGTTTTAGTATGAAGTATTCTAAACATTTTTTTTTCAATATTTAGAATTCCAGATTTTAATAAATATACTCTATCAGTAAAAAAATATTTAAAAATACTTCTACATTGAAAAATATGGTGGTCTACCTAAATGTGCTAAATAAACACTTCTCAAAGAGCACCAAATATCTGTCTACTTCATAATCTCTTAGAGAATTTAATTTAAAGTAGTTGCTAACTCACAGCAACTGTCTGCAGAACATTAATTCTTTAATCCCAATATTTCTCCTGTTCACAAAAGACTTCCTCATGGAAGTCGTATAAGAATCTTGACTACTGATACCAAGGCATAAGGACACATGAAAGGCAAAATTGCTTCATCAAATGATTAGGTAACTTGGTCCTTTGTTCCGAGGGACAGAGTGAAGAAAATACCATTATGCAAATGTGTTTTAATGGTGTTTGCTCAACTCACAAAAGATTAATCTTTAGAAAAAGGAGAGGGTGGGGAATAATGTATCAGGATTACTTGAAGCAAAATACATGAATAATACTAAAATCCAGCAGTTTTATATGAAGCAGAGAAAGGAAACCTATGTTCAAGGGACAAACTATGCAACACTCTAATTAACAGGCATTTGTGAACAGTTTCATGAAACATGCAATAAAGCAGATGATGCTTTTTCCAAGAAAAGTTTGGTGTAGGATATACTAGCGTTTGAAAAATATTCATTCCATAAAAGCTGCAGCTCACTGTTAACGTACTGTTTTGCCCTGGTGTTACTCAATTTCAGTATGCAGTGTCTAAAATTTTTGGCACATCTAAATTATAGAACTGCAAATGAAGTGCTACTTTCAAATGAAAATACACTTTTAAGTTTTGTCTGTAAATTCTCACAACTACAGTTTGTACAAGGAGAAGTAATCTTCATCAAAGCTCAGCTTTTTGTCATGTACTGGTTATTTTCTATACGATTACTTTTATTTAAGGTGGTCTCACATTTCCATAGCAGAAGTGTTTTCATAGCTCATTATATAGCAAACTAAAGCAGAAAACAGTAATATTCTTGCATATACTAGTGGCAGGCAGCAAAATATCCCACAACAAACTTATAAGTACAACACACTCAACATTTATTTGCAGTTATGCATCCACATTTAAAGTAACTATTAAGAGAATAAAAAAAAGAGTCAGTGTTTTGGATGCTTCCAAAATTTCTCTAACAATGATAGAAGCAAACATTTAAGCACTGGATGCCTCTCAGTTATGGGTATTACACATCCATCAGTGCAGAGGAAGGGTGTCAGGGCAGGGGGAGGGGAAAGCAAATTTATATGGCTATACTATTTCATGGTATGTTTCACAAGAAGGTATTTGCTCCAAAATTCTCTTTTCAAAAAGTAGTACCTATAATATTCCAGAGAACTAGGTAATTTTCAAGTTCACCTTCCATACTAAATGTGGGTAGGGGGAGGGGAGCAATGAAAGTGCACCTTTTAAGTTTAGAGAATACCAGAGGAAAAATATGCATTGAAAATCTCTCTCCAATTTATCTCTTTCTTAGCTCAAAAATACAACTGTACCATTGAATTTGCATCACTTTCAATCGTGTCAGGTATAATGACTAAACCGTCATTTTCTTACAAGACAGTTTTCAAACAGGAAAAAAAAAAAAAAGAAAAAGATATTCTCAGTTAATAAAATAGTAAAACAGAAACCTGTCAAATTATTAACAAAGATTTGCAGAAGTATGGAAGGTGCTTTTCATACCAGAACGTGCCCTCTATAAATGCAAAAGAAACAAGCCTCAGAAATTCCAATTAAGTAAGGCATTTAGGGATTGCTCCCAATTTGGAAGGCAAAGCTGTGGGCCAGAACATAAAACATGCATGCCATTATTAGATTCTTTTCAAAAATCTGTTATGAAGGGACCAGGTAATATAAGTTACACATAGTTTCAGTTATGTTGTGGTAAAGCTGCCATCACAGATCTAGATTTTAGTGTATGACATTATAAGTTTATCTTAAAGAAGAGTGTGGTTTTTGTAAATTCAAATAATTCATTATTTGTTTTATAAATGCCAATCACATTTGTTTCAAACACTAGACATATATATACAGTACACACATGTAAGGACATGCATATATTAAAATCAGTGTGAACTAAGTCTTTAAGTGTTACTGCATACATTTGTCATATTGAATACATAAATAAAACCAGATACTTAATAAAACAGATGATAAATAAATGTAATAAATGTTATAAAAGTGAGAAAGCAATAACTTTAAGAATCTAGATATATGATAGATGGTTTGCTGCAAGACTGAGACTTGTAAGAGCTTCTGCAAAACAGAGTTGCTTTTGCTTATAAAAGACAAATACATAGCAATAAAATTAGTTCTGGTGTGGTTCCCCTATGCAATTTTTAAAATTATAAAAAATGTCTAATTCCCTTCACCATATATGGTTCAGTTTTTGGGTACCTGTGTTCTCTAACAACGTCTTTGGTGTGTTGGGTCTGTTAATTATTTCTACAAGCTGGTGCAACACCATTGGAATATAAGGCTGCATCTCTATACCTGAAACAGCCAAAAAAAAAGATTCAGAGGAAAATGACCATTAATATACATAATCTAAATAGATCAGATACACTGAACTTGCTAACAAGGACAAGAATATAAATTTAATTTAAATTTTAACATGAAAGTATCACTAAAAACCAACCAAAACCCACCATTCTAAATGTGCAATGATTCAAAGAAAACAATAAATCTTACCCATCTGGATGGAGATTTCTCCAATTGCCCAGGTGGCATTGTTACACACAGAAATGAATTCAGGGTTTAGGTTGGTTCCCAAAATTGGCATGAAATCGGCTAGAAAAAACAACATTTTAAAATTTCATCACACAAATAACTCTATTGTCCTGTTATTGTAAGATCACAGGGAAAAAAAGGACTTAAAAAAAAAATCAGGTAAGCCTATTGAAATGCTTGGAAAATGTTACATGTGAATTAATAAGAGCTATATTTCTGCTATATATGAGATTAACCTGGATTTTAGAACCTAAGCAGATCAATGCAAATCTTTTCAAATTATGATTTTAAAATGTTTCTAATAGGCTTTATCTTTACATTACTAAAAACCTTTTTTCTCTGCTTTCCTTGCCAGAGGCAGGGGAAGAGAGGGGAAGAAGTGAGAAGAAAAGCACAGCTACACGTAATTTATAATGTAGTTGAACAACCCTGAAATCACCTGCATAGCTACATATTCATCTACGCTTGAAAAAACAAATGAAGCCTAGAAGGCAATTACATATTTGATTAAATTTTAAGAAAAAATTAGTTAAAAGTAATTATAACATCTGCCAAATAAATCTTAAATTCCAGGCCTATCGAAGCATTCATTTCGCAAGTTAAGTGTGCATCTGTGGGAAGAAACAGTAATTATCATGTAAGTGTATAACTGATGCTACTTCCTTACTGAAATCAAAGCCAAAGCAAAAACCCAAACCAAACCTGACCCCCTCTAGCCAAGTTTTCTAATTTTGATGTATTTGCACATAATTTTATGTAACAATAAATTCTACTACAACAAAAAAAGCTATAAATTCAAGAATTCAAATTAAGCAACTATTCTTATTGAAGTCTAAGTACATCTGTTTTGCTGTATTTCAGCACAACAGGTAGTTTGTTACATTATAAAAATCAAGGACAAAATTGAACTTTTGCACTGACTACAAAAATAAGAACATGTCTTTTAAACACAAAATTTGAAGCAGAAAAGACCACAGGCCCTTGCTGATAAAGAAAAATGAAAACTCACAACACCATGAAAAGGCAACCCACAGAAAAAGGAGCTTAACAATGGCTAAACCAGCCTCTCAACAATTTGCAAAACAAGTTAATTGTTTAATATGTAAAAGAAACATACCAATGCAAGGCTTAACATGTTGAAAACACGCCTTTGTCAGATCACCTAACAATGCAAAAGAACTCTGCCGTACCTCAGGCATTTTATCCTAAAGAGAGGAAGAAAAATATTACAGTTCCAGAAGTGTTTCTGATTCTCTGAAGAAAGAAAATCCTTGGATCAGACAGGTTACTCATCTCACCTGCATGCACTGGTACATTAATGTCAGGATATTGCTGCGAGCCACTAGCTGTTCAATGTTGCCTCCAAGTCCTTCAGCTAAACCACTGAGTAAATCAAGAGCCACAATCATGAAATCTTTATCTGGAGCCTCATATTGGTCTGGCTGAGCATTATGCAACTGCAACAAATAAGTGTGCATTTTCAAAATGAGTATTAGATTTTCTCAGGGGTATGCATTAAAAAGAAGTTTCAGAACTGCACCTTCATTTAGATATTGGCGGTTATGCTATAAATCTCCCTGCAAACCCATAACTTGACATAGTTAATACATTGGTTTAAGGATTTATTCTGAAAACATTGGAATAAAATAGAAAAATACCATGGCTTGTGCAAGGGTCTTCTGCACCAGATTTACACAACGCTGGTACACAGGTTCACAGTATGGAAGAAAGCCAGATTGCAAGGCAGTAGCAACTGACGACAGGCACTAGAATTAAAAAAAAATAACAGTCACTACCTTTCCTCAAATCCCTCAAGTGCCTTTTGCCTGGGAGAGATAAGTTAAAAGGCATCAGCATTTTAAGTACATCCACAAGTAGCTGATTAAGTAAACACAAACTAGAAAGGCATTACCAATTAGCTGAGTCAAGGCAACTATAAGCAAGTTCTTACTCTCTCCTATGCATGCCAGTTGAGAAAATTTCTCAGCAGCAATATCTTCTTAGAGGTAGCCAAGAAAGTCTATACAAAACCAGCTATGATAATTCAGCCAGCACTTACACTAAGCTTCAGTATCTTCACCATGTACAAGCCCTAACACAACTTAAGAGTAATTAAACTAATTTTTCTAGAGGTGCTTTACTGCTTCACACTCAGAAAGTACAGAGAATAAATTGCATGGTCTGGTTCATACCTTCAGCTTGTCTGACAATAGTTTTAATGAAGGGATGAAGGGAGAGCAAGAGGAGAGAAGACAAGAATAAAAGAAGGATGGAGCATTTTTTTTTTTTTTCCTAAAAGAAGCCAATTAAAGAAAACACTCCAGAATGGCAGGGAAAAAAAAAATCTAAAAGATTTCTGCTAAACTTAATGCCATTTCCTCAGTCACAACATTTTCTTACTGCAGTCAGAATATTTTCTCCGTAACGGGAAATACCTAACACTATCAGCTTTTATAGTCATGTTTCCTAGTAGGACCATCTTTAGTAAAGTGTAATTCCTAAAATAAGTTGATTAAAAAATTCAAATTTTAACATTTACCTCTAATAAAGGGAAAAGATCTTTATCTTCATCCTTCAACATGTTCCACTTCTGGATTAATGGAGGCATTAGCATCTGAATATATTCCTGTTTAGGATGAAAATGCATCAGCTGCTGAATCAATTCACTGAATATTATTTTATTTAAAAGCTAGAAAATGAATGCATTAAGAACTGATATATATATATCTCCTGCTTTTTCAGCAAAAAACCTCAGATGTACTGTTATTCAATCTTTGTTGCAATAAGTAGAAGTAGTTTAATATTAGAATTTACAATATGTGTTTTAAGATTTTTTGATGAAGCACAGAAGAACCTTTACAGAATTAATCTTTTCCTCCAGGTTTGGTTTCAGCCTAGCTGCCTGGGTTGTTACAAATCTATATGACTGCCTCATGGCCTATGGAATATGTTTTTACTAGCAATGCAATCTGGCTGTGCATCTGCCACCTGCTTTTCTCAACCATTTCCCATTGCCCTGATGCTGCAGCTCTATGCCTCCCAACTTCCTGAAAATTCTTCCTCAAACAACTAGCCACTGATGAAGAAAGTAATTTCCTATCCTTCCAGAAGGATGCACTTACCCCTTCTGCATGAAGCTGTTGCATTTTCCCTGCCACTGCACTGCCATAGTCACAGGGACATTGAGCAAGGCATCCCTATAATGCTGCTGCTCTCAGAAGGTATATAAAGAGCCAACAGATGCCGTCAGATAATGTTATGTCCAAAGATACAAAATTTTAAGTGACTGAAGAAAGTCCCACCATCATCACAAGATCCCATTTAGCTTCCTCTTGGCACTGTCAAATGTCAAGATAGCCAAAGAGAGACTGAAAAAGAGGTCCTTTGATCGTGTGGGGTCTCAGATTGCAAGTAAAATGACATAAAAACAACTCAAATTGTTTTATTCTAGTGTTTCTATATCATGTGAAGCACTATATATATATATATAAAACAAATTTTAATAGCAATCATAAGATGCACATGTGACATGTATGCATATTCTATTAATATATGCACACTAACCCCTCCTCCCACTATATTTGCCTATGTTATCTGTACTTTGTCCAGAGGATTCTGTGTTTTAATATATATATAATGAATGCCTGTCTCAATCTCTGATAAAGCAATTTCTAGTGATGATGTGCTCCAGTACATTGGAAAGAGACACACAGAGAAGCTTAGCTATACTTAAAGAGGTTACAAAAAAAGTGTGGTCATTAGAAATTAAAACACACATTCCACCAATTTCACTAAAGTCCCATTTCATGTCTATATTGACATATGTATCTCCTCTGACCCAAAAAATTCTGAGTGTGAGAAAAATGAGAAGCACATTTCACAAGCCACCACACACACAATCATTTATTCAGAATGGCAAATATTTGTGTAGTGGGAAAATTACATGCAGCCTATGTGTTTTACCTGTAAATACTTAGTATTGAGACCTACACAGAAATATCAGCATTTCTGTTTTATAACATGTAAAGCACACTACAAAATAGTGAGCCAGTTTTTCAATTATGATGAGTGCTTCTACATAACAGAAGGTATACTCACTGGTTTATTTAGATGATGTCCTACAGAATCTGCTAGGGTTCCTATGGCATCATAAAGAATGAGCAGGTTTTTATGCTGGTATTTACTAAATGCGAAGACCAAAGTGTCAAGTATATATGCAAGATAAGGAACAAGCTCTGTACAAGCCTCCTCTTCTAGAGTAGCAAAGGCACTGAGAGACAAAAAGCCAGGTCAGTTAGTATCTTGGAAAAAACAAAACAAGACAACCCCAACATACCCCACACTATGCATTTCTGCTCTTGCATTGTGATGAACAAAATTTAAAAATATTGCTGTAAACCCCATTATGTGTACACAGGAAGCCCCCACTGAAAAAAGCATTGCTGTACACAAGTTACAATATACTAACTGAAACAGTAAGAATTGTAACAAAGGGTGTTTACTTAAATTCAAAATGGCCCACTGTCTTTAATGTATGCTGTAGCTGCACCTAGGAGCCCTAACGTTGTGCTAATACAACACCAGTGTCAGTTTGCATTCTCAGCAGTTCACTAAATAGAAAAACAGGTACAGAAAGACACAGAAAACTAAAAGCAAAGACAGGGCATGAACAATTTTAGCCAGTCTTGGTCAAAGCACACATCACAGCATCATGGAAACTTTTCAGGTTGTCTGTCGAGTGTTTGAAAAGCAGCACTAAAAAAACCCACCCAAAACAAATAACACACACCCCTCACCAGACACACTGCTTCATAGGAACATTAAGGAAAGGAAAAAATTATGAGCTATCGAAGATTTACTGGCCTAACTTATGTCAACAAGATTATTATTAGCCTGTCTCTGCACTAAAAATACATGCATCACCACATGAGGTGAACAATCCCCTACTAGCATGCTACCAAATACAGAAATGCCTTTTTCTTAACACAATGCAACTGTGAGCACTATTATATTATTATGAAGTATTATTTCAGAAAGGCATATAATGTGAGCAGGAAAACATGTTTCAGTAAAATAACCTTTTTGGGTGTCACCAACTAAAGGAGCAGTTTCTCAATAGTACTGAAATGAATGTTAGATATCTGCTATAGATATCTGCTATGGTACAGAAGTTAGTGACGAAAACATACATTATCCTATGATCAATTTTCAATTTGGTAAACATTAGCTATCTGTGCAACTATTCACTGTAGGGATGCAGCTTATTGCTCCTCTCCAAGAAGGACTGTTGTATCTCCTTGCAATTTAGAAAGCTAGTAAGTATGTTTTGATTTGTAACTGTTCTACATTTTCCTTAAAGTGGAGTTTCCCAGACAGTTCATTTTTTACCTGCAATGATAATCTTAATGAATCTCTGCTCTAAAGAAAGCATTTCAAAACACACTATAAATTTGATATTGAATTTTAAGTAAAATAAAAATCAGGTGAATTTTTTTTTAGTATTTCCATTTTATCACTTCCTTATTACTTTAACAGTTTCCACTGCCCATTGCACTTCCTTCATACACCCTGCATGACTCTAGTAACTGCAACACTGCTCTGTTCAACTACATGCACGTTTCAACCATGAACAAAAGACAAAAGTGTGGGGTTTTTGTTTATTTGGTTTGGGGTTTGTTGTTTTTTTCTGTTTGTTTGTTCGTTGGTTGGTTTCTTTTTTTTTTTTTTTTTTTTAATAGAATCTATACATAATCTAATTTCTTGGATGTAAAAATGCGGGAAGCAAGTAGTCTTATATCACCATTTTTCTGCTCATTTAGGAAGGAACAACAGACTATTGTTATGAAAAGACAGGACAGAGCAAGCCCAGCAAATCTGCAAGGCCAATGACTAAAAAGGTTTAGAAACAAAAAGGAAACAGTGTTTAATACTAAAATCTTACCAACTGTATTTCATTAAATTCATCATAACTGTTCTCAGGCAAGGATACATCTTCCCACTTTGTGCAAAGCTTGGTACAAGATCTTTGACCTCAACTCTGTCCTTAAGCACTACTGATATTTGTGGGTGGGGGTGTAATAATAATAATAGTAGTAGTAGTAATAATAATAACAACAGCAACACTACTACTCTAAAAAAACTGCATGTTTAAAGTGATAAGAATACAACCAGATGTAGATCTAACTCTGTTTTATGAAAAAACCTTCTTGGCAGTCTGCTGTATACACTCTTGCCCCACACAAACTGATGTATAAAAGCGTTATTTGATGAGCTTCCTGCACAAGAGGTGCACCCATTCCCATTCCATTAATGGTGTGTCCATTAATGGAGCCATTTATTTATTTATTTATTAAAATATCAGCAGAGAAGTGGGAGAAGGGAATATTATCTCCCAGGATCTCCCTTCAAGAGGAAGAGAAGATCCCTTAAAATAATCATAATCCAAATGTTTTGGTGATCCTGATCTAAATATAAACAACATCAGTAATCCAATGATAGTATAGTTTTCCACTGCAATCCATATTGACCTTATTTTAAAAAGTCAGATTTCTGATCAATGAAACACTACATATTAAAAATAGATAAGTCTTACAAACAGATAATTTCTTTTACTGTAATAAATTATTTAGTTTGGTGATTCATATACTCTGAAAACAAACTGGACAAGAGAAATACAAATTAACTTTTGTCATGTTATTACAACTCAGGGTAATTCGCAACTACTCCAGAAGAAGCTGCATCTACTCTAATTTAAAAGAGAAAGAAATACATTAAGAGCTAGAAATGGAGCAATGCAATCATTGATAAAAGCATGGGAAACTATTTTAATAGTAGTTTCCCAAGAAAAGGCAATGTCATGGATAGTGCCTTTTGCTTAAGCTCTGGCTTACCTGCAGGCAGCTTCTTGTACTCTCTTGTTGCTATCCAGGATACGCTTTAGCAACTCAGTCATTAATGGCTTCAAGTATGTATCTGGGGGTTGACTAACTACCCAGTGTGCATAGCGACTAAGAGTCCAGCATGTAATGGAGCGCACAAGAGCCTTTTTGTCTGAGAGGCACTGAATAAGGTGAGGGATCAGCTCAGGTAGATATGGAATCATACCCTGCATGCAGCCTAGAAGAAAAAATATAGCTATTGCAGTACCAGAATTGACAAAAGTTCTATTATTTTGTTTCCTAGGAGGGACATATTTTCATTCTCTTATCACATAGGAGTATTTTTCAACAATATAAAAGCAAGTGTACCTAATTTATATTAAGTCCTAAAAAGAAACCTTACATAAATAATCATTTAAATCCCCAATTTTCAACTACATTTCTACTTCAGTGTTTCCCCAGCCTACAGAAATCCTGCTTTACTAAATGGAGTACAGCAAATATATCCAAATAATGTGAGTTCATAAAGCTCAGAGGTCCTACATCAGTCTACTCAGAGTAACCAAGACAACATGTAGAGAAAGACTTGGTCGTGACAGCAAATCATGGCATCATTAAAAAAGGATTTCTTAACAAATTAAATTTCTTCTTGTTTTCTCCTAATATCATACCAATGCTGACCAGGTGTAAAAGCTATATGTTTCAAGTCAGCAAGGGCAGTAATACAGTGAGATTTGCCAGAAGTACCAACTTTTACCTGGCTTGATTTGAAATCAAAACCAACAAAAAAAGTTTTCTAATAACAAAGAAAAAAGTATGCTTAGTAGGCACTGGGGGAAAAGGGATGTAATCCAGGCATGGACCCAAATGTATTCCTTCAGCTTGCAAAAGGGACAGAGATGCTGGAAATGCAGGCAAAAAGCCAAGCCAGACTGTAAGTACAAAGTAATGGAGTTATCGTATTTAAATTGGAAAACCGTCCACAAAAAGCAACTCAGTGCACTCAAGTCACAGGAGTGGTCTTCTCCATTTCTGAAAACACTTGAATAAAATGTAAGGCTCAAATTTATTAAATATTCCTCTTCTATGAAATGAAAGTTGTATTTTGTGAGAGACCGATTAATATATGCTTCAGAGTTCAGAAAGGGAGAAATAAATTATCTAAGACATTTAGCCTCCCAAACATGCATAGATTTGAAAATGAAAAACTAAATAACTGCAGTCACCAGTTAGTAGATGTCAAGATTAATCACCAAAACTGAACCAGCTTAGGACATTACTTGTTTGCCTAAGTAAATTCACTTGGAAGTAACAACAGAGACGCTTTGGAACCAATTAAAAATTCAGCAACCCGATACACACTGTTACCTTACCTTCAGCAATAGCTCCAAGAACAAGGATACCAGATTCTTTAACTACCCATTCGGGATGGAAGAGCAATTCCTTCAAAAGGGGCAAGATGTGCGGCAGAAGTTCATCACGAAATACATTGGCTAGGACATCTAGAGCAGCAGCAGAACATTTCCCTGAGGGCAATTAACAGTGTTAATATTGGTTTATTATACCAGTAGTTGTAGTTAGGCAGTATAATTCTCATTTTAACTTTGAGCTCCCAGTGGAGTCTTAGGGCATTAGAAGGAAAGATACTTCCATTTCATTACAATACACAGTGATCCACTGTGCTCTGGTGCAAAGCCGCAGCTCTTAGGAAGACCGTTTTGCAGCACTTAAATAGCCAGTAAGAGGACTAATATATCTGGGATATTAAAACATTCACTGACAGGAATCGCACCATTATATTGCAACATTATATACACTACATGCTTTCAGGTTGCCTAATACTAAGGAAGAGGAAACATCTGTGACATGAATGTAACATATTGGAAAAACTAAGGAGAAAGGAGAAATGGCCTAAAAATAGTAGCATTTGATTCAAATGGAAACGCCCAAACATGATCTGTATCTCAAATTAAAAAAAAAGGCAAAGTCATCTGACTCTAGAGACTGATAGGAATTTGCTGGTCTCTGCTCTGTGCTTTTATACCTTACTTCTATTTTGTGATGCACCAATATGATGTACCTCAAAATTTGCTTGAAAGTGTTAATCCCATGTTTTTAGCAAACAAACATTCATAAAAGAAAAATCAGGAACAACTTCAAAACATGATTCAGAATCCTTACTCTGTTTTTCTGCTGTGGTCGTGTCATGTTGAGAAAAAATAAACCTAAGGTGATTTTATAAAGAATGATTTTATTACAGAATTTATATAGCACTTTTTGCTTATTATATCTCAGTTCCTTCTTAATCCATCATTAAGGATCCAACTGCTCTCATTAGTAAGTGATGCTGCTAATTGTCAAGCTGCACTTCCTCTCTGTTTAAATTGGAAGTCAAATATAGAACACTGGATAAGAAATATGGCACACAATTCTGATATTCAGATAATCAAAATTTTCTCAAATCCAGACAACATATGTTGATAGATTTCTTAACTGTTCTCCTCTTTCTCTTTCAGGTCACTATTCCTGGACAACTTTAGCTTCCTCACCATATTATCAAAACAAGGACCACAGAGCACCCTCTGTCATTTCAGCTATCTTTTTCAGAAAATAAGTATTCAATTCTGTCATCTCTACACACAGCAGTGACAAGAACAGCATTATGAATCTGAAACTATACCTTTTTAAAAACAGAGGCTTTATGCAAACATGCATATTTGCACTGATATTTTCTTCTAAAACTACAACAACAACAATAATAATTAAAAAAATTCAGATATGTCTCAAAATTGTTTGAACGTAAGCTTCAAGATACTTTAAGAACAGTAGTTTCCTCACAGCTACCTCCTTTCTTCATAGCTAAAGTACTATATTCTGGGCAGAAGCAAATTCCTCATATAGAAATGTACTGCCAGTAATGGCTGTCAGTAGTAGCATGTTCAGATGATAAAAAAAACAAACAAAACCAAAACAAAATACACAAACCAATTTTAGAGGGAGGACTAAAGTAAAATAATGCATTATTAAGTTTTCTCCAGCTATCAATGTGTAAGAGCTTTTTTTTAAAAAAAAACCTGAAGTTAAAGAGGTGATACATGACTTTTCTTATGCTGTAGAATCAAAATTCTAAAGTCCAGAAGTTCTGTTGAATTGCATCCACTAAATGTTCGTAGCTCGATCTGCCATATTCAAAATAAGAAACAAACCAGATGGCTAGCTTTTGTCAATACAGTTCTATAGTCAAAGTGTCATCTGAAAGACTCCCCCACCACCCCATCCACCAATTATGTCAGTAGATAGTTCTTTTTGTATTCAAAAGCAGAGCCTCACTATTCCTCGACATAAAGTCCTCTTCTTACTGTGGTTCTTGTATTATGCAAGTAACTTGATTTTAAAACATTTTACACATTACTTTGACATACTTAAATTCCAGTCAGAAATAGTATCATCATCATCAAGTTCATCATCATCATCATCATCATCTTCAATACCATCTTCTTCATGTTGCTGAGCCACTGTCCGTGAACGATGAAAACGAGGTCTTATGTCCTGTTCACTATCTGGAATAGCTTCGTCTTCTTCAACATCCCCCTGTCATCAAAATATTTTATCAGATAATCTAGTCTAACTATATTGCTCAGGGAAGTTAAGAATGTAGTTTTAGTTCAAGATTTTATAAGCAACTAAGATTCACATCCCACCTGCACTGTCCACCTAACTAAAAATGCCACTGTTCCTTCATTCTGCTGCTGCATTCACCAGAAAAGTGACAGGAAGACAGAAGCAAGAGAGGTAAGCTCATGCACAAAGTATAGTTCTTGTTAAGAAATTACTCCTGATGGGAATGAAATAGAAAGAAGTGGCAAAAAAATTCTGGTACACTGACACATTCTAAAATATAGTGGTGAAAAACAAACCAAAACAAAATGTTTATTCAAATCTAGAAGGCACTAGAACTAATTCTGAACAATTTTTTTAGGCTGCATCGTTGCAGTAGTTCATGGGCATCACAGCTCTGCTTAAGTTGAGTGGGAGGAGGCAGGAGGAAAGCAGGAATGCCTGCAGACTATTTTCCAACAAACATGGCAGCAGTCATATTGAGTATTTGGAACAGCACACCTTGCCCTGGAAAGCTAATGCTACACTGAACAGATGATAGGCCAGATCTGCTCATTCTGATCTGAATCATTCTGATCTATAGGTTAGAAGCTAACCAGATATTCTTACAGTGTAAAAGAAATTGATGCTCACCTTCAACAGAATAATATCGATCTCTGAATATTTCATACCATTTACCAGCACCGGTATCAGCCTACAAAGAAATATTGATACATGTCAATATAACACATAAAAAAGCAACCCAGTTTTCAGTTACCTGGTCCATAATTTTGGTTGTAACCCTCAGCCTCCCAAACACAAAAAAACTTCTTAGCTTGATAACAAAAGCTAGTATGCAAACCAAGCTCCGTGCCATAAGGTTCATCAATACTTTGTAATCTGGAACAGTATAAATTTCAAATTACAAACTTTTAACTAGGGATATCCAGGTGGCACAACTGGGTTTTAAACTTTAAAAACATATTCTTCCATATGATGAATTTATTCTGAAGTACTTTTCAGAAATTATGTCTAAAGGTTTTCAGTAAGAATTTAAACTCCCATAATACACATGATAAACAAGTTGGCCCTCACCAACAGTACTTGTCACTTTACCTGTGGCTGAAGACTCTACTTCAATACTCGAAGATGGAAGCCTAACTACATGAAGCCCTCCTATCCTTTTGTGATTACTTCAGTAATGCAAGCTCCCAACGTTGCAGAGATCTTGACTAATCTGCATTAGGATTTACTTTACACTGTTAAACTGGTTAAGGCTATGGGACTCCAACTGTACAGATGTACAGCTAAAAAAAAAGTACTCAGGGTAAAAAGCCAAATACTTCACATAAAGCTACATTCACCAAAAAAAAAAAAAAAAAAAAAAAAAAAGTCCATAAAAATTTGTATCACAAGCCAAATCAAACTAATAATGACCATGGACTGACCTGGTACCAGTGACAGACTCAATCTCTATTCTGTAGCTGAGGAGTATTGGTTTTGAAGGTACCAGAACAGCAATAATATGCAAGCATTGCAATGGCACATTACCTTCTGAACTTTGAAGGAACAGTAAGTATACACATTATAACCAATTATTTGGCATTTCTGCAGCATACTTTATGAAGTATGCAGGAGCTATATATTTTATAAGAAAGCCTACAGGGGCAAAATGGAACAAGATGTTAGATACCCCAAGAACAGGTTTTTAGAAGATCCTGTCCCACTTTTAATTTAATATAAAAAAAATTTAAGATTGTCATCAAGTATTGACAAACTTATATAGCTCACTAGTCAAACAAGACTCAACAACAAACAAGTTGCTTCCAACAACCATGACATTGAAAGATCATGAGAGAAATGTAATGTTACTCTTATTTGTTTTTCTGGAAATTTAAAAGCTTTTTAAAAAGAAATAAAAAACCCTGAGTAAGATGCTGTTGTAGTATCAATGTTCATGTAGGCCAAAAGAGGTTTCATACTAGTAGCTATTAACTGTTATTCTCTGTATAAAGTTATTAACTAGTTGTTAATCAACTACTAATTAATAACCACCATTATTCTCAGTATAAAGATCATGTGTGTTGGGAAGGGGGGTGGGTAAGCTCAAGGATTGTGCTATCATTCTTTTGTCTTTTGAGATACAAAAGTAGGAATTAAGTAAAACGATTTTAAAACTTGAAAATTATTTCTCATGACATTGGTTCTCCTGTTTTCAAATCCTATTCCTTCACTGCTACAGTAGGTGTTTTAATCTCAATCCTCTACTTCCTAATTGCTTATAAAACCTGAAATTTTTCTCATTTGTTTTTAGTTGCTTCACATCTATAATGCTTATTTTTGCTGAGAAAAATGCATCTCTTCTGTCTGTGATTCTGTTCTTCCACTCAAGATCTTGAGAGAACTGCCCTAGTAATTTCAAAAGCTTTCCATGCATATATAAAAACAAAGAGTATCCATTCACTGGGAACACTGAAGAATTCATTTCCCATTGTGAAAGACTTCAGACTAGTCTGGAAAGAAGTTACAAGTACTGTTGCAGACATGCAGATGTTTATGTCTCAAACACAGATGGTCATTCCCACTCAATCAAAGATCTACCCTTTGAGGTATAGGATAATTTTTTGAAACTTAAACTACTATTAAGCTGCAGAAGTATGAAGGAGCACATTGTACATGTTTTCTGCAAGTTTAAACTGCAGTAGCAGTTAATGTAAAATTGATTCCTGAATTCAAGTGATGTCATGCTGGTTTGTTATGTTCTTTATAAAAAAGGGAACACTCTGCATGACTATGCACATAGAAGCATTGCATGGAGACGCTTTCATCAGCAGTAGTCGAGACAACATGTTCATGGTACACTAGATATTACAGGTAATGTCATGTGTAGATGTTTGTTTGAACTTAAGTGCATGTTAGCACATCTTTGCATCCATGTGAAGCTTAACAGACTGTTGAGGTGAAGCACACAGTGACATAGTTTAGGTTGCTTCTGGAGGTCACTGGGTCTGAAATCCCCAGAAATCTTTTCAACGAACTCTGTGCTACAGCCATTTTTATTATGCACAGGTACTAGCTACAGGAAAATTCTTCGAAGCATACTGCAAGCTAGATATAGTCTCTGTAAGAGTAACCAGGAAAAGTCAACTAAAGTTGAAAGATGACTATTTCAAAATAAATAGGAGTTGTAATTCTTAATACTTACTTAGTAAGATGCCGACATAATACATCTTTACAAATTGGCTGTTCAGCCAAAGTCAGCCAAAACTCACAAGCCTCCAAAGCCACATTTTCATCTTGGTCCTGGGTCCTCTGAAGCATGTACTACACAATATATAAATAAATTACTTGTATGAGATAGAAGTTTTAAGTGTCCAGAAGAAGATACAAACATTATAAAGTGTTTGCAAAACCAGGCTATGCTACCATAGCTATTTCATTTCTTTGGGATGAGGGAACGAAACAGACATAAAAGACTACTTAAGGTTATCCTGAGAATAAGCTAAGAGACTTCTTTCTTAATGCTAGATGATTAAGATTATAAACTTCTTCACTACTTAAATGACAACATTATTACCAAGAAACTGCAGAGACCCAAGTTAATATATGGCACTTCCTTGTGAATAGATTTTAAATTTATTTTTCACTCCTCCTTTGCACTACTGAATAAGAAGGTACAACTATACCCTTAATAAGATGGAAATACTTTTTATTTCCAGTACCATAAAAAAGCTTCCCTTCCAAATCTTGACTACTTGACAGGATGTAATTAGGTAGAACCCGTAACAGGAAAAAAAAAAAGTCTCACATTTTTCTAGCATGAATGGTAATTCAGAGATTCAGTGTCAAATCTTTAAGCTTGCCAATAAAATTTAATTCTCCTTCAAAAAAAAATAATCAAATACATGCATAAACAAAAAGTATAAGTAGACTATTGCTCCATCAGTTTCTTATACACAACTGCCAAAACAATTCAAAAAGATTCAAAAACAATCAAAAAAGATTCTTGCAACTTCCAAAATAGTAATTTCTGCATTCTTTCATGCTAGCCCTTATTTCTGAAGCAGCTGGTTCTTTCATTTGTTTTAGAAGACCTCACGGAAGTCCACACAGCTACCTTTCCTCATATGTGGATTTAGAGCAAAAGAAATCCCTCTTCAGTTGCTTCAGAACACCATTTTATTCTCAAAATTAAATAGAATGGGGGGAACTTTATTATCCTTATGTACTTCAGGGATGCAAGACTTGCCATGAGCAGCGCCCCTTACTACAGAATTGCACTAAATCTCAAGCTTTTCCTAAAGATTCACTATTGTGATTAACAAGTGACAGTAACAGAAATACTGCTCTATGACAGGTTGTCAACAGATCGCAGCTCGGAAAATCTGAAACATGTCCTACTCATTACAAGCAAGGCTTCCTTAATACACCTTAAGTTAAGAGATTTGGCATTTTTCTCCAAAGGGCTTGAAAATCTACCGTTTTGTTGTGGCTTTGTTATCTGTCATAAAGACAAAACAGAATAACAAAAAGTAATCTGTTTGAAGATGCCCCTCACACTGTCATTTCCTCTTTGAGTATCTGTTATAAGTACAATACTATATGTTCCATGAAGATAGAAAGCAGTAGATTGAAAAGATGGGGTAAGATAGCCGCATACCCAGCCTGGAAATCACAGCATCAACAGTGAGCCTAGTAACAAAGCAAAATGTGGGAAAGGTATCTGAAGGCTTTTTTTTAATTATTATTTATTTTTTATTTTCTCAGTATTCTTATAGGAAATTTTAATAAGTACTTTTAACGATAAGCTATAACGTTTACTGACTTTAAGCAATGCAAATAGTTGCTTTGTCACAATAAATTACAAAATAGCATAGGAAGATTATTCGTTACACTTTTGTGTACTCTGACATAAACATTGTTATGTTAGTCTTGTTAAGTCACCCATCAAGAAAAGAATAGAGATACACTAAGTATAAAGAAGAACACATACTTTGAGCAGTAATAGACACGTCTATCTGAAGAAAGCAACAGGATGCAAAAGTCAGAATTTCTACTGGGAAAGATCTTAGGAGCGACGTGTTTGGATGAATATGCTCTGTGGGCATACAAATGTAATCTAACAACTGAAACAGTAGGATGGTGTACTCCTGACATGTTCTGATATCAAGTTCTCAGACAAAAAAAAAAGAAGAAAAAAACATCTGCCACTGCTCACCTGGAAGTGCATGCTCAAAAACCCTAATGAAATCCAAACTCAGCCATTCATGTATGTTCCAGGGATTTGGCAAGAAAGTTTAAACCTGTCTGCTTCGAAAGCATGATGTCCACCAAGGGCTTCTTAGAATCACTACTGGATCTTTAATATTCTTATATCTACTTTAGAAGTGATTCTCCATAAGCATAAAGAATATCATGTAGTTACAAGTTTCTCTCTTTTAAGACTTCCTTCACTTAGAGAAGCCATCACCAGCAGCATTCAGCTTGGAGGCACTAAAGTCTCAGAAGTGCAAACCCTGACTCATTGGAATGCTGAACAATAGCCAGTTCTGGGATATTACATTTGCACATACCAGGATATATACAGAACTGGGGAAATCAGTAACAGTACACAGTAGTCCCAAAACTGGAAAAAAAAAAAAAAAAAGGCTAAACTATCTGTTACAGAACAGAAAATCAATGACTACTGCCTTTTGTAAGCCTAAAAATAGTCTTCCCAACAGCAAAATATCAGATACAATATGAATACAATCTTGGATCTTTTTCTGTTTGGTGACATCTTTTCTACCTACAAAGTCCAGAAATTCCTTACCGATCTTAGGAGGGTGAAGAGCCAGACAAGTTATCACTTTTCAACAATATAATCTCCAAAATTTTATTTGGTCTCAATAAAAAAAACATATCTCTCAAACAATGAAACAAAAAAGACCCCACCACCAAGTACCAACAATCCTTGCTTGTCCTACGTTATATAAGAACATGTCTGCCAACACTGGTGTCATGGAATTCCAGACAACATATAGGAAGACTAGACAGCAGGACAAGGCTGTCAAAGATCACCTCATTTTTATGCATCTCTAAAGCCTGTGTACAGGAGCAAAAAAAACCTGGCACCTTCTTTGTGTTGTCTGTACATAGTTCTTATGGAATTTGACACTGGGTTATGACCCACTTGTCCACGTGAAATCTGCATAAGAAACATTATGATCTTAGCTATATTTCCAGTCTGGCAAGTAGTATATATAAACATTACCTAGAAATTTCCAGTATATCCCAGAAATATGGAAATTACTCACAGCTCAAATAATTAAGCAGGCAAAAAACCAAGAACTGATCAGTCCTCTGGTAGGCAAGTCTGCACTGATACTAGAACGGAAATGGAACTATCAAGTGACATTAACTTCTACAACTCAATGCAATGGGCAGCAACATCATTCGTAGCTCAAAGAGCATCTCAGCTATTTAAAATAACATGTCTTATCCTTATTATGGTCAACATATTTGAAAAAAACAACAGCTTCTATGTGTAAACGGTAGCAGTATCAGCACTAGCACCAGATCTTTAACATTACCTTCTCACTTGGGGTCAAGCAATGCCTAGCTGTTCCATAGTATAGCTGATCCTGGTCATTTCAGGATCAATTAACTTAATGAAGAATAAACAACTGCCATATACATTGCCTGTCAGACACGTCATGCTGGCAATTAGCTAAGAAGAAAGTTTTGCAATTTCAGTCTTGAAGTAAAATGAAGAGTAGGCAAGTGCAAGAGTAACATACCTGTTCTGATGAATGCTTTTTATCTGCTATTATTTCTGCAACCTCAGACAGGTTTTTCAGTATGCAATCTGGGGAGTGAGACTCACCTCAACTATACTAATCATATGAGGAAGCAGGCGATCCATTCGAACTTCCAGCAACATTACCAGGGCACGGCAAACATTTTTGCGTACTTCAGGCTCCTCATCACCAGCCAGTGCAAAAAGATTCTGTTGAAAAATAGGACCCGTTGGAAAGCCTCAGTTCGTGTAGTTCAATTTGTATTTAACTTGATGTTACTGGAATACTAAAGTATGCAAATATGTACTTCTGTACTCTCCCACCCCACGCCTCAGAATATCATTTTATTTCTTAAAGACATATAGTTTAGCAAATGACCTATTCAAACTCTCAATATGTACTGTACATATAGCCAAAACACTGCATAATATTAGCACTGGCATAAGAATAGTACTTCCTGGATTATTTTTTTCTTCCTAAACATAAATGAAATTCTGAACCAGAAAACTCCATCAGTACATAACAGCAGCAAATCTAGATAACCCATAATGCCACCCTTCTAATCCACGTTCAGTAGCAGTATTCAGAGAGACCCAGATGGACTCAGTGACATGATTAACCTTTCACTGAACTTTCCATCACAGGTGACAGGCTGCTACCACTACTTTTACACCTTTATGAAACAAGAGTTTCCTCTACTTATGAAGAGGAAGAATCCTTCCAAATACTACTTTTTGGAGACTGCTTAGACTAATCAACTCTGAGCACAAGCATAAAGAATGAACTTCAATCCACGGGGACTGAAGCTAAGAACGGGCAACCAGAAATGGAGAGTCTAGGGGTAGAGGTGGTTATAAAACATAATTCAAAACTCTTGATAAATCAGATATGTAATCTGACTTTACCCCTCAACCAAGAAAGCATACCCACCTCAATAAAAGAATCTATGTGCAACATAAGAGCTTGAGTTCTGCTGATGATAAATTGATTGACGCATGCAACAGCATGAGACCTACAAATGGAAGAGTTAAAATATACATTTTTCATGAGTTAAAAACATTTTCTAAACTGTACATAGGCATCAAAAACATTAGGAAGCAAATGACACTGTGTAAACATCTTCTAGTGGCAAGGGGGAACAAATCTGCACATCTGTAGTATTACCAAGAAAAATTACTAAACCCCATTTTAAGTACCACCTTATAGTCTGATATATCTAATAAGTATTTAAAAATGACGTATTCAGTTATTAAAAACCAGAGCAGGATGACTAAACCTGACATATTTCTTCCAAACAGTATGTAAGGATGTTCTTTTTGAGTATGATTATTGATCTTCTCTGATATTAACAATTCCATGCAAGTCATCTTAGTGAAATTTTAGCACATTCTTCTTTGTTGATAAGTATCCAACTGCATTTGCAATGTTTTTAGTGTTTAGTGAGATCAAAGTGTGTCAACAATATAGCTATAGCTTAGAACAAACACATACTTGTAGTCCAATACATACTAAAACATCTGTGTTAGAAACATACTACAAAATGAAGCACTGGTTCTTCCATTTCATGCAAAGCCATTACTTACAGGTCTTTTTAATTGTCAGAGATACAGAAGTCAAATTCCATAAGTAAAGGCACAAACTCCATAAGTAAAGGCACAAGGCAAAACTACCTGTGAAAGCCTTTCAAGATCCATTAAAGAACTTTTATTAATGTAACTCCCAACTTCTATTCTGTTCAGACATTTCTTGGAAGACTGTCTCATAAAACATTGTTCAAAAGTTGTCTCTTGACAGATTTAAATATAAACTATTTTACTGACACTACTAATAGTTTCCATACTTCAGCACTAACTGAAACCAGGCTGTGGGTTAGCAGGTGGCCTGCTTTAAACTTGAAACTGGTTTAACAATCTCAAAGCCACAAATATGGAAGCATAAGAAAAAAGTGAAAGACTGTATAAATAAAAAAGCATGTTTTCCTCTCTCCCAGCTCCAGTGTGTGCTGGGGTTTTGTGTGTGTGGCAAGGGTTTTGGTAGCTGGGGAGGGGGGCTACAGTAGTGGTCCTGTAAGAAGCTTCTTGAAGCTCCACCACCTCCAAGTTGGACACACCTCTGTCGAGGGCTGAACCAATCAGCTGCGCCTCTGCGATAATTTACTTAAGAAGGGACCTGGGAAGAGGAGTGGGACTTGTGAGGAGGAGTTGTGAGGACGATACCTACGTGGACACTGAGATTAGTAGAAAGAAGAAGGAGGAAGGGAGGGATGTGCACCACTGCACCCTGCCCTGCAGCCTGTGGTGAGATGGCAGGGCCACTCCTCCCTGCCACCCATGGAGGTCCACGGTGGAGCAGAGGCCGACCTGCAGCCTGTAGAGGACCCCAAGGTGGAGCAGGCATCTGTGACCGAAGAAGGCTGGGACTCTGTGGGAAGCAAAAGCCCCCACTGTTCTAGTTCAGCACTGGGAGGACTGCAACACATGGGAACGACCCACGTCCCGGCTGCTAGGGAAATGCAGCAACCAATGGGAGGGACTCACATTGGAGAAAGTTTGTGGAGGACTGTCTCCCATGAGAGGGAATCATGCTGGAACAGGGGAATCATGCAAGGAGTTCCTGTCCCCACCATCCATCCCCTGTCCATCCGTGTGCCCGTCCTCCTTCCCCCCTGCCAGGAGGAAGAAGCAGTGGGACTGACCACAACTCCATTCGTTGTCCCTTGTGCCACTGCGGGGCAGGAGGTAGAGATGGGGAGCAGAGATGAGGAAGGGACTGGTGGGGTGAAGGTGTTTTTAAGATGTGGTAATGCTTCTCACTGACCCACTCTGTCTGTTAAGTGCTGTTTTTAGTGTCTGTATTAAATTTACGTTCTTTTTTCTTCCCCTAATGAATCTGTCTTTTGCCCATGACTGCAATGGGTGAATCACACACACTGCTGCCTGCCCCCTCCCCGCTCCTTATTTCAATTCCTGAGCCTTTTGTTTTATATTCTCCTTCCCACTCCTGAGTGGGAAGGGGCAAGTGAGCAGTGGCATGGAGATCAGTTGTGCCCTGAGCTGAAACCACAGCAGAGAAATATTAAGTTTATCGTTCCATAAGAGCAAGATCACATTTTACTACATATTTTTCTTAATGTGTATCTATTTTAGCTGATTTTCTAGATCTTAGTTGAATCTTATCATGATATATTGCAAGTTATACTCTTCCTCTTGGTCTTCACCATCTACTGTCTACTTCACCATTTTTCTCCTATCCTACACTTGTGTTACTTTGGAGAGATCAATACAGTTTAACAGTGAAAAGACAATTAATTTAATTTGATTCAGCTGAAAGATGAAGAGCTTTACAAGTTTTGGTTCAGTTAAAGCAGAAATTTTTTTCTGCAAGAACTCAGAAATTATTGTCAGCAAAAGTATTTTGACTGTCCTATTGCTAGAGTTAGAACAACTTTGCATTCAATCTGTAAATTCTCATCAGAATATTGTTCTAACCACAGTATTGAATTTTTCATAATAATATGCAAAAACGTTAAAGAAACAGTTTGATTTTCAAATCACAGGCTGATTGTATATTTGGAAGATGTATAAAGAGGTGAGTGTGTTGTATTAACTTAGCAGATAAATGTGGAAATTACAGATGCATGGAATCTCTATGGATCTCTGCAGGATCATTTAAAAAACCCAAGCACGTTTAAACAGATCTGCAAAACAGCAACCTTGTTGCTCACGTAAATAAAATTTTAACAGATTACTATAGTGCAATACCTAAGCCTACCTTATTTTTGGACTGCTGTGCTTGAAGAACTGCAAGAACTTGGGTATCATGATATTGAGTGGTCGATCCAATACATCACTATCTAAAATTTCAGCAGAATCTTCACATATCTTCTGAAGAGCTCCAAAAGCACCCTGTTTAAAAAATATAAAAATCTCATCTTTCACATTCTGAAGAGAGCAAAATTTCAGGTTTTATACAGAACAGGTAATTTCAGGACCACACAGTAAATGTAACTAGTTAACTAAATATGGAGTTAAACTGAAGCATCCTGAAAAGCTTTGTATTTAAGCACTTCATACAAGCATCTGTAAGCTCTCAAGCTGGGTGAGTTAGTAATAGTTAAGTGGCAATTTTAATTTTAGCATTCAATGCTCATCTATTCAATCATATTTTTAAAAATGCTTAAAAGCTAGTTATTATTTGAGAAACAGATATCCAGGTGCAGAAGTATCCAATTTAATTACATATATAATTGTATTTCCTTTCATGGTTTGTTATGAGACAAAACACAACTCTGGATATGATGGTCAATTTGAGTTTAATTTTCAAGTGCTTTTTTTCTTTTTCTTGAGAAAGCAGCGCTAAAACTACTTAACAGCATGGCACCTTGGATGATTATCCTATCTCTGGGGATTATTTTATACAAAATGCTTCACATGTTTTCGTGGAGAGAGTATCAAGTAATTAAAATTGTGTGATCACATATTTTTATTTTTTAAATCAGAAAAGGCTTTTTTTTCTCCTCATAGTTAAAACAGTTAAGTTGGTATTCATTTAGTTTCCTTCATAGACACTGACCAAAACAGGTTCATTTCACCCTGATATAGCAACGACAGATTGCTTTTCCAGATTAAATTACAAGAAGAATGAATGCTACTTTCAAGTAAGAGAAAATTCAGGGTCAACTTGATGATGCTGATGATGTCTAAAAGATAGGCATCATGAAGTGGGAACTTCAACACACTTAGCTGAGATGCTACAACTATCCATCTGCAGGCGTATTGTGCTTTTATGTAAAGAAAACAAAATTAAATTAACAGTAAGAACATGTAATGCAGGTAGAAGAAAAAGTACCGTTTGAGCCACTGTTCTCTGAGGAGAACATGTGTGCATGTATACACACACATACACGGTACTATACACATACATAGTGTCTATGAAGAAGGATAAAAATAATCATATTCAGATGATAATCTATTTTCTATAAGTCTACTTACCTCACAGGTATTGTAATCTTCAGAATCCAACAGGCTGCAAAGCTTTGGTAAGAGTTCAGGCCAATTCTGCAATTCTCCTTTTGAAGCAATGGTTGTTATCAGAATGCCTAAAGGAATCAGAAAGATGAAGAAAATGAGATTTCACATACTTTCACATGTTTCATACCCATTTTTTCTCATTTTTCTCCTCTCAAAGATCTAAGGAGTTAAGAAACATCTTGTTTTATTAAGAACTGGCAAGCATAAAAAGAGGAAGGACATTTAATTACAAATGGTATTTGAAGGGCTTTGAAATGCAAAGGTAGATTGTTCCTTCCTGCTACCATGAAAGGCTCAGATGTGAGAAACCAAGCACAACTTAATTCCAGTTAAGGAAATACTCATGCTCAAACACTGCAGTGCAGTTTTGGCTCAATTTACTAAACACTGTACAAATATTGACCACCAGCAAATATAGAGTATCCACCTCAAGTCAACCCTTTTTTATTATGATACAAAAGCATAAATGTGGGAATTCAATAAACTTACAGCACAGCGGTAAATTACATGTTGACAACTTTACTGTGTTTACCCAAAACATTAAGAACATATTCTAAGACCAAGATACCTGCTAAAAGCTTACACACTACAGCAGGTCATCCACTGATCAGCTGTAGGGGTTGGATGACTGAGATCCAGCAAAGAGATAGGTCAGCCCAAAGAGTCACTAATTCTGTTTACAGCTGTGCTGGGTTTCTGTGGCACAGTTTTTTGGTAGCAGGGGAGGGGGCTACAGCAGTGGCCCCTGTGAAAAGCTTCTCAAACCCACTCTAGCTCCAAGTGGGGCCTGCCTCTGGCCAGGGCTCAACCAATCAGTGATGGTTGTTGCTCCTCTGTGATAATGTATTTAAGAAGGGGAACCTGGGAAAGGGCAGGGACTTGTGAGAAGGAGCTGGGAGAAGGATGAACACCCAGGTCAGTGGAAGGAAGAAGAAGGACATGGAGGAGATATGCTGGAGCAGAGACCCCTGTATCCTGTGGTGAGACAGCAGGGTTGCCCACTCTGTCATCCATGGTGGTCCGTGGTGGAGTAGAGACCGACGTGAAGCCTAAGGAGAAAGCCACTCCAGGACAGGAGTCTGTACTTAAAGCTGGGACTCTGACTGGAGAAGAAGCTCCTGCTGTTGTGGTTCGGTGCTGGGATGACTGCAACGCAAAGAGGTGACCCATGCCAGATCAGCATGGGAACAGCTGCATCCAATGGGTGAGTCATACACACAACTGCCAGCTCCTCCCACCTTCTGCCTCCCCTGGCTCTCCCCTTATTTCAATTCCTGAGCCTTTTGCTTCACACTCTCCTTTCCATCTCAGATAGGGAAAGGGGTGAGTGAACGGCTGCGAGGTGCTCAGTTGCCCCCTGGGCTCAAACCACAACACCAGCACATACAGAAATCCCAGGAAAAACTGATTAGGTGACAGGAACAGAGAAGGCCCCTTACAAACTAGGACTGACTTTGTATGAGTCCATTTCACTTCAAGACAAAAATGAAACAGTAGCATAACCCATTATGCTACACAGTTACTTCTAATGAGTATGAACAGAGAAGAACTTCATGCTACTAAACTAGTAATCTCCCAAGTGGAAGTGATGAAAAAAGCTCTTCAAAGATTTTTCACTGCACTAATCAAAGTATATCCTTTTTCTTTGGAATAAAATGTTAAAACTCTTATTAAATACGCAAGAATGCAAGACTATGTTACAGAGCAAATAACACTCTGGACAAGACACACAGTAACTAAAAGATATTTTGCATCATGTTTCCTTTGATGCAACAGGTTGGAGAACCCACAAAGAGCAAAAATGAAGACAGAGGTAAAACGATTTTACAGCTCCAGAAGTAGTTTGTATCCAGTTCTCTTCATAACTGCAACTGAATAGAAAAGATTCCCAAAAGCCTATAGAGATCTATGGAGTCTTAAGGACTCTGCATTTCTCCTGAATACTGTGGACCTGCAAAGAATATCACATGCATTAACAGAAAATACTTATTTTACTGTTGCTGGATCTTAATGTTTTAGGGGGTTTTTGTGTGTTGTTTTTTTTTTTTTTTTTTTTTGTTTTGTTTTGTTTTGTTTTGTTTTTTAAATTAAGCTGAATTTCACAAAAAGAACAAACTAAATGAATTTTCTTGCCTCCTAGTTGAAGTCCTGAAATTGCAAAATTGACTCCCTAACTTAGATCTGGCACTGGTTTGTATGTAGACTTAACATAGGTACAGAAACAAGCATAAGAATGAAATACCTAGAACTCCTCTGTAGTAACATGTGACAGAAGTTACACTGTAAGTCTCAAAGAGGTAGGAGGTTTTGAAAAAGACTTGGTTGAAGATCTTTCCAAAGTCCTAGAAGTGGTTTCAAATGACAAGTGCAAGCTTTCACAGCTGAAGGAAAGATTATTTGAAAACTACTTCAAGTGTTCTTCCAAAACGCTTATCCCAGACAGCAACAGGATAACTGAGGAAGAAATACTTCCAGAGGCATAGCCAAGATGAGACCTGAGGCCACTGCCCTTTGCAACAGCAATGTATGCAGTTCAGACTACACATGTCATTAAGAACTTTCCATACAGGTCTGCAAAGAATCCATTTAACACTAGTACAGTGTTTTGGAAATGCTAAAGAGACACTTTGGTGAGCACAAAAAAAAAAAAAAAAAAAAAAAAGAATAATATCAGACTCTCAAGAACTTAAGGGAGATGTTATGGTTTAAACCCAGCTGGCAGCCAAACACCACATAGCTGCTAGTTCACCTTCCGCTGCCTGGGGATTGGGGGAGAAAACTGAAGGGGTAAAGGTAAAAAAAAGTAAAAGATTGAGATAAAAACAGTTTAACAATTGAAATAAAAGAATAGAACAGTAATAGAAAGTACAAAGAGGTAACACACAATATGATTACTTATCACCCATTGACCGATACTCATTCCACTCCTGGCTGGCCATCCCGGAAAAGCCAAGATCCCGTAACTGCAATCCCAAAAGCAAGTGAGAACACCCTCCTTCTTGGCCAACCCTCATCTGTATACTGACCATGATGCTACATGATATGGAATATTTCACTAGCCAGTCTGGGTCCATTCCTCTGGCTCTTCTACCTCTGGGCAACTTGTACACCTGCGCATGGGCAGGACATGGAGAGTTGGAAAGTTCTTGATTTCTTAGCAACAACTGAAAATACCAGTGTATTATCAACATTCTTCTCATACCAAATCCCATATTGAATCCAAAACACAGCACTATTCTAGCTACCAGGAAGAAAAATGAACTCTCTCCCAGCTGCAACCAGGACAAGAGACAACAGCTATAGCATTTGAAGCTCTGCAAAATGTTTTAAGAACAATGAGGAAACAGCCACATTAAATTAAGTTTTTGGCACTTATGTTCATGTTAAAAGGAATATTTATGGGCTTCTAATGAGCTTCACCTTCTTTCAAATGTGAATTTTTTCCCACCCTCATGCTGCTTTATTTGGCCAGCAGGGAACAGAAGACACCAGAGATTAGGCTTTGCGGCTTTGTCTGCAACACTTCAGACACTGAAAGAATGATTAAAGTAAAGAAATAGTCAATTTAGTACCTTGCAGCTTTTGGACAGGTTTGGGTTAGAGCTGACAGTTAAAACAGGCCCTTCCTTCTGATCAACATACTAAGCTTCAAGGTTAGAAATCTGACACAAAGTCTTTATAAAGATGGTCTTTGATTTGTAAAGAACTTCAAAACAGTATTACAGAATCTGTTGATATTTCACTTGACAAATGTGATATCTAATGAATACAGCAGCTGGACTAATTGAGCAGTAAACATACGAGAGAATGAACTCCAGAGGGATGTTAGAAAATGTTAAAAACATAAGAGTCATTGTCATGACAGCATCTTTTCTGCCACTGTTTCAATTAAATGTAACCCCAGTTTACAGCATCAATTCTACAATTAAAAAATTTAACATAAATTAAAACCAGCAATGCTTCAGTACTTATATGCCAGTAACAGGACAGGGGGAACATTGGGTCTCTTTTGGGGTAGTATTTTGCCTCTGTAGCTCCTAAAGTTGATTTCTGAACTCCTTAATTCTAAAAAGCTGAACTTCATAGCAAAATTCCCCCTCTTAGGGCCATCATTAGCTTTCACTTTCTTTCTGCAGCAAAGCTCTCCACCTCTGCCACTACTCTTAAACACTCAAACTATTTCCCCTGCTTGCTTTTAAGCAGGAGCTAAACTCCAGAAAGTTTTAAGAACAGTTACAGACACTTCCTAAGTAGATGCATTTATTTCCTGGTAAGTTTGCGGGTCCTCAACACATGCAGCCATCTTTTTTGAACTTGAATCCATATTTCAACATTAGCACATGTGGTTTTAAAACCTGTACAACACAGCACAGAGAATTTTCACACTGTTACTCATTTGGGAATTAAAATAGGGAAAAGGTAAGTAGGGATAAAGCAACATGCAGTTATTATTTGGTCTCAAGTCACAGTTTTAAAACTGGCTCTATTGACATACTCATTTTCCTCAGTGAGGTGATTTCTGAGGATGGGATTAAGCAGCTTGCCTCCATCTTGTCCAAAAGGTATCAGTTTTTGTCTGGTTAACACCAGATGCTAGAGACCATAAAGGAGAGTGAATGCTGCATTAAATCTTCTCTGATGCTATTTTGATGGACTCGCTCATCTTCCAGAGATCTTATTAGCAACTGGCTCATTAAATTGATAGTGCTTGAACTGCAGAAACCTGTAAGCACCTCAAAGAGCAGCTCTAACTAGCATGTGCCAACTCACATGTTAACAAGACAGCCTAAGTAGGTAGTAATATATTTATCCCTAGGTAGTACCAAGAGACCAGTAGGTACTGGACCAACCTCACTATTCAGATAGAAGGCTGTAAGGATCCAACATTTAATTACTTCAAACTGCAGGGTGCAAAGTATGAGCTAAATAGCAACTCCTATGCAAGAATACAGTTCATCAGTTGTTACTCTTCTTCAGAGTTCATACATGCTTGAATAACACCTGCAAGGATCACTGAAGCTGAACAGTAATTGAGCTACTAATCCACAAATGTTTAGCACTAGGAGAAATCAGAGAATAACTGTTTGAAAACAAACAACACTCCCACCCCTCAAAAAAACCCACCCTAAACATTCACCACCAAATAATCCTAAAACAGCAATCCAAATAGAGCTGGAATATATTCTTCAGTTAGCTCTGTTGTATTCCACTGACAACTTCTGTGAACAGAGCAAGCATAACTCTTCTACAACCTGAAATCACAAAAGTACCTGCTGCTCAAAGACTTGTTTCTACTGTCATCAAGAAAATGGGAGATTAATAAAATTAATAGTAAAGCAGCTTCACAAGAGACAAGACAACAGGAAAGAACCCAGATGAGTGTTTTTCTCTAGTCCATAGGTTATAACCCAGGTGTCTGGAGATGGAATCCTATAGAAAAAGCAAATGATTCAAAAGAAGCAGTAACTGGTAGGTTATTTTATAAAAGTAGTCAGCTGATAGAAGCTGAAAGTCTTCCTGAACTGACACCCACCCTCGTTTTCTCTACTGTACTCAAATATACACTTATTTTACTTTTTTCTAGTTTTTTGATTGGACAAGGAAAACTACTACAATGATGGTAGTAGTTAGAGGAAATCATATTCCAAAAGAGAAGATAGAAATGCAACTTCACCTAGAAATATGTAAAAAATGGAAATATGCATATTTTATGGAAGATGTGTACTAAAACAAAATATCTATGAAATAAAAAAATCAACGTAACATAGAAACTTCTCACTGGAACTAGATGATCTTTAAGGTCCTTTCCAACTCAAACCATTTTATGATTCTATGATGTTCTGTACATCACACTTTATTTACTGTTTTCTGACAGAAGGTATTTAAAAACAGAAACCCATTATGTGAATGTGTTATGCATGGTATGATGATTCCCTGAAGGGATGTGGATATGCGTGCAGATGGGGGGTGGGGCGCAGCAAATCAGCTAACAGAAGTGTTTCATTGATGCAAGCAGAGTACTGAAATAGTTCTGAAGTCAGACCTTTACCTTGTTTTAGGTATAGAAATTGGCAGCAAACTCAGTTTTAATACATGGGAATAAAATTGTGTTCAGTTACATTCCAAGAGATATGAACTGAATTTCTACATTAGTTCTAAAATAATAAGCAAAAGTAAATATGACTTTCGTATATTCACACTAAAGATAAATATCAGTACTAAAACATAGAAGTTGTGACAATTATCAGAAGCAAACAGTTCTAGGAGTTTAATAACTCTTTATATCACTGCTGCAGCTCTCACCCATATCAGTAACATTTTCAGTATGCAGAAGAAAGCCATAAGAGAAGACTTACCTACAGTAGCTCTAATTAAGGGGGAAGAATCACCAATATTGTTCAAGCATTCACTTTTAATGAAGTCAGTTACCCCACTAGGGAAGTTGTGAAAATGTGCTTTTACATTATTCTTCAAGATAAGACCACTCAAGGACCGTGTTGGTTCATCTGCAACAGAAAATAATTACAGTCATCCTTCAATCAGTTCATAAGAATAAGGTAGATTTCCACAACAAGGCAACAAGAGCAAAGCTTATATAGAGGTATTAATCTTATTTTCTTATTTTTCTTACTGCTACATCCATTTACTGACATCAAAAAGCTTTTGAGGTTCAGAGTTCACTATTTCTATTTATTCAAAATTGTAATATTGGTATTACAAATTCTACATTTTAAGAGAAAGTTTTCTATAGAGATATAGGCAAGGAATAGATCTGAAGTCACAGGATATAAGAGACTCATGAAAGAAACTGGTCAGAACAAAGACATTTAGACATTCTGATTATATTGACTGGCTTGCTCCAACATTGATCCTGTTAGAAACTGATGACAAATGTTCTTTCGTCATAGTAAGACACAAGTATTATGTAGGGACTATGCAGTAAATACTGCTCTCTACTCTCATAGTAAACACTACCACCTCCTACTCTCACAGAAATACACTGTCCAATTTTTCTACAAAATATAGTATTGTAATCCCTTCAGATACCAACTGTTCTATTGATCTGTTAAAGTAATAATTAGAGATAGAAGGAAAAAAAAAGTCTTTAAACAATGTTAACAGGTAAGTGTTACATAGTATGAATCATAACACTCATGTAACTTTTTCTATGGAAAAAGAACAGCCTAGGTTTTTCATTTATATTGCATCAGACTCATGTTTGTTTCTTCAACTTAGTATTACTTCTGAAAGAGGCTGAAAGTGAGATCAGGATGTTCTATGTAATGATTAGTTTATAGTATAAGAAAATTTGAATTTACAGTTTACAGCAACCCTAATCACCATAGGAAGATAATTTAAATTAGCATTTTAGTCACTTGTTTGAACTTTTTTTGTATGACTCCCTGATTTGGGCATGAAACAAGGATGTTCAAAGTTCTTTTGTGCAAAGAGTTAGTTTACACATGGATCTATTCCAGGCTGTTCTGATTTAACATCAGCCAGCAACTAAGCACCACGCAGCTGCTCACTCACTCTTCCCCTCTCCTAGTAGGATAGGGAGAGGAATTGGGGAAAAAAGTAAAACTTCTGGGTTGAGATAAGAACGGTTTAATAACTACAATAAAATACTACTAATAAATACTAATAATAGTAATGAAAAGGAATATAATAAAAAAGAGAGAGAGAAATAAAACCCAAGAAGAGACAAGTAATGCACAATGCAATTGCTCACCTCTCACTGACTGATGCCCCAGCAGCGATTCCCTACCCCCAGCCAACTGCCCCCAGTCCATGCACTGAGCATGACACTATGGTATGGAAAATCCCTTAGGCTAGTTCGGGCCACCTGTCCTGGCCACGCTCCCACTCAGCCTCTTGTGCACCCCCTTGCTTGCAGAGTACAGGAAACTGAAATGTCCTTAGCTTAGGATAAGCGCTACTCAGCAACAACTAAAAGATCAGTGTGTTACCAACATCATCCTCATACTAAATCCAAAGCACAGCACTACACCAGCTACTAGGAAGAAAATTAACTCTATCCCAGCTGAAACCAGGACAAAAGCTTTCAAAACTATTAACATCCCAACAGAAATAAGTATAAGCAAAATAAGAGATAAACTTTCAAATATAAAATGGTTTCAAACAAAAGTTACTCCATCACAATGCCAAAACGCACAGTACACCTATGATGTGATGACATGAACAATGGGATTGAGTGCACCTTCAGCAAGTTTGCTAATGACACCGAGCTGTGTGGTGCAGTTGACACTCTGGAGGGAAGGGATGCCATCCAGAGAGACCTGGACAGGCTTGAGAGGTAGGCATGTGCAAACCTCATGATGTTCCACATGGACAAGTGCAAGGTCCTGTACATGGGTCGGGGGAATCCCAAGCACAAATACAGGCTGGGAGATGAGTGGATTGAGAGCAACCCTGTGGTGAAGGACTTGGGGGGTATTAGTGGATGGAAAACTGACTGTGAGCCAGCAATGTGCACTCACAGCCCAGAAGACCAACCATGTCCTGGGCTGCATCAAGAGAAATGTGGCCAGCAGGCTGAGGGAGGGGATTCTCCCTCTCTACTCTGCTCTCGTGAGACCCTACTCAGAGTACTGTGTCCAGCACTGGGGTCCCTGGTGTAAGAAAGACATGGACCTGCTCAAGTAAGTCCAGAGGAAGCCACAAATATGATCAGGGGGCTGGAGCACCTCCCTTATGATGAAGGGCTGAGAGCGTTGGGGTTGTTCAGCCTGGAGAAGAGAAGGCTCTGGGGAGACCTTATAGCAGCCTTCCAGTACTTAAGGGGGCTACAGGAAAGGTGGGGAGGGACTCTTTGTCAGAGGGTGTAGTGACAGGATGAGGGTAATGGCTTTAAACTGAAAGAGGGTAGATTTAGATTAGATACAAGGAAGAAAATCTTTCCTGTGAGGGTGGTGAGACAATGGAACAGGTCACCCAGACAAGTTGCAGAGACCCTCTTCCTGGAAACATTCAAGGTCAGGATAGATGGGGTTTTGAGCAACCTGATCTAGTGGAAGGCGTCCATGCCCATGGCAGGGCTGTTGGAACTAGATGATCTTTAAGGTCTCTTCCAATCCAAACCATTCTGATATGGTCATTCTATGATACAGAGGCATTAAAAACCAAAACAAAACAGAACAGAAAACCCAACAAACCACATCACAGTCAAAATCTTAGTTTAAGAAAAAAATTTATGATATGACTGCACAAGGATATTTATGGAATCCAGGGTGTTCAACAACTTCACAGCTATATTGTCAGAAGACAGTAATATAGGTCTAGATGGAGTTCTTGCTGTAACACCAAGATTACAGGCAGATGGCCCAAGAGCTGAGTAAGACACTCTTCAGTATTCACAGATTCTGTGATAAGTTCCATCAGCCATATGCTGCAGCCATGCAAAAATATCAGTCTTGCCTCCTTCTATCTCAATCAACCTGGAAGCAGAGTTGACAAGAACACAGTGCAAGAAAAAGAAGGAAGGCAAAGCAGATCAGACCTCTGGCATTTGATAGTATCTTTGGTGCCAAATCAGTTCATCAGTGGAAGATTCTGCTCTCACTTTGCCTCACTTTATAATAAAGCCATAGCACACAAACATCATTTGGTTCTCAGTAAATTTTCAATTCTGTTGCAAGACTAATACTAGTTCCAGATTTTAATGGTTTACAGACAGAGCAAATGGACGCATACTCCCATTACAGGGATATCAATTATTTTTGGGCTACTGCAGTGCTTTTAAGAACTAGAGCTTGTCCTCAAACAGCCATATTTCCTCTAATGATGGTTTGATTGATATAAGGTGTATATGTGAAAGCAATGAGGTTTCTGTAGCTCACCTGCAAGTCCAGATGAACATTTTTTTCACCATGCCTTTTCATCCTCTCTTCCTTAGAACGTAACTCCCTAGCTTGCTAAAAGAACTGAGCAAGAGGGATGAGGGTAGTATTTACCCATTCACAGACTATGATATAATGATTGTAAGCGTGGCTATATTTGCCCTATTACTCTTGTGATATTGGCAATTTTAAATGTTAGGGTGAGACTTACCCTAAAGCAAAACAGCTCTGTCTATTTCAGTCTTAAAGCTGTTAAGCCTTTTTTCAGTAATAAGCTGTCAATCTCTGTTTTAACTGGACTTAATATGTACAAATACCAAGTATGATAACAATCATGACTAGTGTCACTGTTGCACATGAAGATTTTCAATCCATTAACAAGAGACTGGCTGTCATTTAAAAGATCTAAAACAAAAAACCATAAGGATCCCACCAGAGCAATGTCATATTGGAAGCAGAAGATGAATAATTTCTTCTAATGTATAAGAATACAGTACAGAGACTGCTTAATGATCTTTCTAGCAGAAAAAGATACTTTTTTTTTTTTTTTTATGCTGGACTTTTAAGTAACCTCGAGTATAACATCTTTGGCTTAAACTGGTACAGTTTACTATCATGTCAGAAGGAGGACTGATGATCTTTCAAAATATTCAGTGAATCTGAATACATAAATGACCTTGAAATGTAGTGGCTAGTCTGAAATTAATCAGTGCTCAATTGATTCATGTGAGTCATGGAAAATAATTTGACACAAGTACCTAAGCTTAGGAATGCCTGTAAGACAACAAAAACAAATGTTCTGCTGATGCTGAGTGTTGCATATTCATTGAACAATAGGTAGCAACATCTATACTTCTGAAGATGGTGAAGTCAGTGTAAATAAAACTAAGCTGTAAGCAATATGGGAAGGGTGTTGAACTGCTGACCAATGATGAGTTTGTTGGTTATTTATAGAAGTTTCTGCATTCTAACTGAAAATCACTACAGGTCAATCAGAATGCTGAAATTTATACATCTCTATAGCCTTGCAAAACCATGAAAAGTTTAAAAAACTAATCCTCTGGTTTCACTCCTACTTTCAGATTCTCTATCATACCCTCACCAACTGGCTGACTCAGCACTTTTCCCCTCTAATGCCATTTTACGTATCACCTCCTGATCCTGAAGTTAAATCAGAGCTAGAATTCTATAAAGAGCAGAAGAATCCTTAATAAGAAATGGAAATTCAGTGTGGTGACAATATGAATCACTGCAAGATCCTAAACTATGTAACAAATGCAGGATACTGTTGCCATTTGAGAACATCTAAAAAGTAATGTCATCACTCATTGGTGTTTGTCTGGGGGGAGACAGGTGACAGGTACCCTCACACTAAGTCAAGTGCACAGGGAAATGAATTTATGAGTTCCCAATGGAAGTTGCTTAGACAGCATTTCATAGTAAATTAATTAGCGTATAAGGTCATTAATCTATCTGAAGAAATTACTTGGTCAGATGAATAGACATTTTGGCACTCTGAATATATCAAAGGTGAAAGTTATATATTAAAACATGTGACGACATCATATGAATAACTGTTGGAACACAAGGATTAATTGGATGAGTAAAATGAGCCTATGTTATCAAATTAAATAATTCAGAATACA